AATCACATGTTTTATATGAGCTATTCAGTTTCTTAGATTTTAATTATCAATTTATAAACAGTGTGAATTATTAGAGTGAAAGAATACAATCATAATTCGATTTGTGTATAGAAAAAGTAAAAGTTTTTCTCAGCAAAATTTGTTTATGTTATACTTATATCATTTTCATTAACATTGGTTATGGTTAATGTATAAATAATAAATTAGTAACTTTAAATTACAGTGTATACATACATTGATAAAAATTACAGAAAGATAAGTAGCTTTTGTATTTTTGTTCATATCGATATAGTTGAAGAAAAGTAAAAGTGTAAATGACACAGAAACTTTAAAATTTTGTTTTATTTGGCTCATTGAAGTCAACCGATTCAATTTAAGTCAATAAATTAATTTCAATAACTTTTCATGTGACAAAATTATACAATTAGGGAAACTGAATTATGAAATTACCAAAGCAATTCAGGAAGATTTGTAATTGAAAATTGACACAATTCTTTGGTCAATTTATACGCAAAAGTAGCTGCAGAAAGACCAATATTTATTATTTTATATATAGCCTATGCTTGAATGATCAAGATTTTTTTAATATATTGTAAAGTTAGATAATCTCATATACTTAGTAAATTCTGTTTATTTTATTGTTATTTTTTATAGTGTGATATACCGGAAGAAACTGATGTTTTTATCGTCATAAAACTGGTTAAATTGTCAGTATTACCTCATTTAATAACATGCAAACCTTGTCGAGAATGTTGCTAAATGTACTATATACTCGAATATATTCTATTGAATCTTTGATTAAGCGCTAGGACACAGATGTGCAAAAAGTTTGGATAGTCTCAATGATAATCTGTTGTAATTTAATTTGAATATATGAGCCTACAGTTTGTTTAGTAGGACAGTAGGTTACAATTATAGCTATTTGGTGGGAATGATAACAGGAAATATTGAGACTTGAAAAAATTGTTAAACCAGGAATTTTTTATTTTTTTTGAAACGGTTAAGAAATAATTTTTTTTCTTCCGGAAAACTCCTGATTTCGTGATAAAAAGGCCCCAATCAATCATTCCTTCGAGACATGGATGAGTAGGTCTAATTTAGCTGAAATAAAATATATATTGTCAATAAAACTCCTCAACCAAAAACTATAAAATAACTAATAGCTACCGGTAATATAGGAATATGACTGAGATTAAAATCATCATTTCTACTGGTAGAAGGATATTGCCAGTGCACTAGCAGATTTGCCAAACTGTAAGGACATTGCTTTTTCAAAGTATGAAGTTTCATACCACAGTAGTAACTCAATTTACTTAAGACCGCTTGCTTGTTTAGAGTTGTGTTTAGAGAGAAGGCATGAGTACATTTTTGAAAATGCTTCCATTGTGTTGCAATATCCAATTCGAACAGATAATTCAAAGACAATGACCCAATTTACCAAAGACTGGCTGCTTATTTAGAGCCTTATTTAAAGAAAATATCTTTTTGAAAAATGCTCTCATTATGTGGTAATAATCTTCATTGTATTTTGATGTATTCAGTACAAAAAAGTTAATTCAAACTTGGTGGCTAAATACATCAAAGGCTGGTTGCTTGTTTAGAGTCATATTTAAGAGAAAGTGTTGAGTAAATTTTTGATTTCATTGTATATGGCATTAATCTTGATTGTATAAGTACTTCAAATATTTTGGCGGGAACTCCTCATTGTCTTGAAAGCAGACAGCATTGTTCAATGAATTAATATTCTGCATATGGTACAATACTATTTTGTTTAAATTCAAATATACCTCGATGGTTGGTAAATATGCTTCCTTTGTTCCATTATGTCTTCGTTCTTTGACATGAATTTTTTGGTGGGATTTCTATATAATAGGATCATTTGAAAAGAAACTGATTTCCATTATTTTTGAACTTGTGATGCTCTTATTGAGATGAGATGTCTTTTTTTGTCAAGTATTTGTTCCAATATTGAGTTCTGCTGCGTTTAGATTATGACAAGGCAGGGAGGTGAAGTGAGTAATTGTCTTGCTCTCTAAGTTCAGGTCAACTATAGAAATAACTGACCAGTTGATTACCGAAATGTGGGTACTCCCGTAGTATGTGTACCAGGTTAGGGTTAGGCCATACTTTTATTCTGATTTTCCTTATTCTATTATGAGTTTTGGGACTGTCTGTGTTAGCCAAGTGAATATACTCCCTGCCAATAGGTTTCAGTCCCTTTACATAATAACTTGATTTAAAGTAGGTGAACAAAATTAGTTACCTCCATATTGGTACACATACTTCTGAGTGCCCAAGTATGTGGGTGTCATTAACATACTGGAGAGTTTTACAAACCCAATGGTTACATGAACCATCTAACAACAATAGTAATGAGTTCAGTTATTATTCTATCAAAGTCAACCAATCTTGGAAGATCAGTCATGTGATAGTGTGCGACAGCTCCTAACAAGTAACCACTCTCCTGATTATGCGATCATCATATCTAATATAGCGAATATAAATAACATTGATTTCAGTCTCTACTGCAGTGTTATTTCCTTCATTATTATTAATGAAAGCATTTTTATACTCTTTTTAGCCAATTTATTCAGGTTTACGTAAAAAATATTGTGGATAGTATCAAGATAATAATAGACATTGATCAGATTATTGATTTTGTTCAGGTCAGACAGATCAGTTATATTAGAACTTGTATACATAAGCATATTGGAAGGCATTTTAGCATTTCAGCCAAACTGAAATGTAAAGGTCTGGTTTTACCTCAAGTAGACTGAATATCATTAAGTTGAAATAATTAATTTTGAGTTTGTAACGTTTTATCAATATCTAGTTGCAGATAGACAGACTAACATTGTATTTGTGTTTCTAAATTATTCTAATCCATATATATGTAACCCCTCATAAAAAATAAACAGATCCCAGGTCATCTGGGACATATTCTACCGAAAATATTACTTTTGTGAAAAGTATCGTAGATTACTGAAATCTATGAGTACGATCATACAAAAACAATTTCAATTTCGTTGGAATAATTAGAAAATTCATTGGTTCTGTTATTTTTTTAGCAGGCTGTCACCCTGTTTTACCAGGAATTCTTTTGGTGCTCCTGAAGTATGCGCACCAAGATGTCGCATAACCTGAACCCTAACCTGGTACACAACCTGAGTTCAGTTTGTGCGCCATCTTGGTGCGCATACTTCAGGCGGTCCATTCTTTTTTATTTAAAATTTCTTGAAATATCACCACTCTAGACTCTCTGGCAGTAAAAATATGTCTCATTTTATAAGAATGAGCCATATTGGTATTGATCTCAAACCTGCAAACTGCATTACCAGAGTCTCTCGGTGAATAGATATAGTAATGGGGAGTGAAAAATAACATTCATTCAACTAAATTATGTGTTTATATTTTATATTAGATAGAAATTTGTGAATATTACTTTAATTTTACTCTTTCATTAGGCATTCGATGAATAATTTAATTGCTTCACATTTACTTCTAGCCTAGTTTTAAAATCTTAGTCATTGTTACATTATTCTTTTGCTATCTCAGTTTTTGAATTTGAGTCTTTTATGATGTTTTTCCCGGTATCTTTGCATGATAAATCTGAGGATGGAGATGAAGAAGAAGAAATGGTAAAATTTTGTTCATTTTTGGAAATTTGTATTGCTAAATATAGAGCAATAGCTCAATGTTATTGTTACATTTTTAACTACTGGCAACATAAATCTTCAATATACTCATTCGCAAACAATATTGAATAATTGGTTCGATTTCAAGGCTTACCGTCGTAATATTCAAATCATTGAAAAAGTTGCTTTTTTTTTGGCATTTTGAATAATTTCAAGGCAGTACAGCTAATGATAGATGTTAAATTGAAGTAGTAAACATAATAATTATGACATAACAATTAACAATATAGTAGTTCTCTCTCTCACTCAAGTTGAAAAGTTGAAGTGAAGTGAGTTGTTTTGTGCGTTACATTCATTTTACATTTGTATGTTGATATTTGTACCTTTTTTATTTTGATATTCGAAATTGTAATATTTTTGATTTATCAAGTTAAGGAATCAACCATTTGCAAGCAAGGATTGTTAGAAATGCAGAATAATGTAATCAATGATTTTTTAATTTTCAAGTGTATTTTAGGGGATTCGCACTGAAATCATAGTAAATCGCTGACATCTGTCGTTTTTATACCTTCAGCTTCAATTTATTCCCTCTGCTAAATATTTCACTTTGAAGCGGATAAACGAGATAAAACAGCCTCACAAAAAGTGCTCAACTTTTATGGATGGCCGCTCATAAACTTTTTTTTTGTATAATTTGATTAAGAATTTACTCAGCAGTTTTGTTCCAAGACGATATTATGTGTATCATCGTACATTTATCATTACATTTAAAGTTGAGTGACATTTCATCTTGAAGTGTTAGACGAGTAGTGGTAAATGATAATGCTTGCCATATCTTTGATTTTGCGAATAATACTCATATTTATAAAATATCCATCACAATATGGCAATCGGCTGGGTGCTCCTTTTGAAAATTAGAAGTATCTTACATATTGTAATACATTTTAAAATTAGTTACATACATTATAATGTGTGGGTATAGTTTGTTGGAATGTATTCACAAATTTTCAATTCATATGATAGAAATATCATTAACCGGGTGCTAGGAAAACTAATAAGAAAGCCTAATCATTCTGCAAACTACGGCCTCTTGCCCATTTACCAGTCCTTTATTGGTATGGGAATAGTTAACCAGGTATTTGTTTCAGATGCATGGACTTGAAATTCAATCCAATATTAGATGTGGTATTTAAAGTTATTGTAATGTATTTATATTTCAATCAAATGAAGGAAAAAAATGAGCCTATTGTCATAAGTTTTTCACACGGCAACCAAGTCTTCTTTGTTACTAAGGGTTTTAATCTTTAACCACAAAAAAGTTTTTTTTTGTTCTTGATAATAATATTCTAATAATATTTATTTCAGCTTCTCATTGAAGACGAAGAGGAAGAAGACATCATGTGGAGTCTCAAGTCAACGGAAGCTGCAACCATGACTGTTGAGGAGGTAAAATATATTGAAATTTTCATCTTTTTTGGAGGGGGTGGGGGGGGGGGGGATATTGAAAAATTTTAACATCACCTAGTCTTTTAGAAACAGGTTTTCTCAAGCTGGGCCATCAAGGGGACCTTGAACTAAGCTCATCTGGTACCATAGCAGGACAGAGATAATGTCTCAAATATTTCAGTACTTTATTTCTGTTACAAAAGTTAAATTTTATTCATTCAGTCTGCTTTTTATTTCCCACTTCCTAATTGGTACTCGCTTAATGAATTGGTTTCTTTAATTTTCCCCGTCGTGTTGTTAGTTGTCATGTTTTGTTGTCTGCCTTAAATTATTCATTGGAATATGCTAAGCCTTTTTTTCTCTTGTTGATTATTTGCCTGTAAAGCTTGAGTTTTCTTGAAACAACAACTGCCTTGATGGTCAAAACTGAGATAGAATTTTGTACTTTAAACTGTTTATAAAATGCCAGACAGCAATTCCATAAATTAGTTGAAAATTTAATAAAATTAAATCTTGCCACATGGTACTTAAAATATTAAACTGCAGAAAGTCATTGGACATATCTTGAAGTTTTCAAAATCGCATGAGAAGGTACGAGGTGTGGCTAAAAAGAAACGAGACTGACGTCACAGATTGCGCAACACGATTAACCATTGGTAATCAACACTTTTACAGTGTGGTGTAATATGTGTTCTTTGTTCAACAGCTTTTTTGACACAATATCGCAATTATTTTTGCTCTTTAGGAGTCGTAGGTGAATGTGATTAATTGCTTGTTGAAAAAAAAATTGCCGTGCGAGATCTGATTGAGTTTTTTGGCGATAGGGGGTTCAATTGCAGAATGACGATTGGGCAAAGAGTTAACATTAAATTTTGTGTCAAACTTGGAAAAATGCATGTCAACTGGGCAACATTTAATCGTTGAGCTTTCTGCTCCTCAGTCAACAGCCTTGGCACCATTTTGGCACTCACCTTTCACAAGCCAAAAGTGTCAACCAAACTGGTGCGAACCGTTTTTTTTTGTCTTTTCCAACTTCGCAATGACGCGAATTGTTGAGCGACGGTCGCTGCGAATCAACTGCCTTTCACAACTGATACCTTTTCGATGTTGGTATCAGTTGTGGAAGTGCAAGGCCTTCCTGACTTCGAATCATCCTCCACATCCTCCCTGCATCCCACAAATCGCTTGTGCCATTCAAAAACTCTTGTTCTGGACATGGAAGAATCTCCATAAACATCACACAATTTCTTCAAAGTCGCAGTCGCCGTTTTTCCAAGTTTGACACAAAATTTAATGTTAATTCATTGCTTCTCGCCAAAAAACTCAATCAGATCTCGCACGGCAATTTTTTTTTCAACAAGCAATTAATCACATTCACCTATGGCTCCTAAAGAGCAAAAATAATTGCGATATTGTGTCAAAAAAGCTGTTGAACAAAGAACACATATTACACCACACTGTAAAAGTGTTGATTACCAATGGTTAATCGTGTTGCGCAATCTGTGACGTCAGTCTCGTTTCTTTTTAGCCACACCTCGTACAAATAAGACTCAAAATCATTGTTTTTTCATCAACGAAATAATGATAGTTTTCTGTCTAATTTTCATTAGTTTCGTATCATAATCTCTCATGTTTTTTATGTTACCTGAAAATGTATTTGGTTAACCAAAGTGTGTGTTATGAAGCTTTATGATAACTATGTATTAGACATCTAAACTAAGGTACAAATATTATTACAAAATTTATTTCGATCTGTGAAATTCACCATGTTTGTATTGAAATGATGACTCATGTTAAATGAAACTTGACGTATCATGATTACGCCCCAGAATTTGAAATATTTTGAGAATCGGCTTGCCACCTCACTCAGAGTGTTAAATTTTATTCCTTCAAAATATTAGCCTTTTCATATCCTTATTTATTGTTATAATTTTGTCTGTATAATTGCATTGTCTTTCTGGATAGGATGAGCAGAATTTCGGGTATTAATTGTATATTGGGTATTCCCGTAATATGTGTACCAGGTTAGGGTTAGGCCATAATTTTATTCGGATTTTTTATATTTTAGTTCTAATACGAGTTAAGGGACTGTTTGTGTTAGCCTAGTGAATATAACCCCTGTAAAATAGGCGAACAAAATTAGTTACCGGTACCTCCATATTGGTACACACACTTCTGGAGCGCCGAATATTGTGTGAATGCCTGTATTACTATATGACACTTGAGTTTTTGTCAAAACCACAGTTCATTGATAAGTTAGTCCCATAACATGAATTATTCATTAAAATCCTGCTTGACCTTTATGCCAATGTCAATGATTTTAGCAGTGGTTAAACACAAAGCGTATATATAATATAAGCGAGGCAACGCTCAGACAATGGACGCCATCTTGTGCCTATTGTTTTCGGCAATTTAACACGGCGCCTTATGAGAAGTTCCAACACAATTATTGAAACATACCTATTATTTTCACTGATATTTTAGAAAAATTTTGAAGGTCGCGTTTTGAAGTAGAATCTTAGCCGAATATGCTTATATCCTTTCATTTTGGCCAAATTACATTTATAGTACATTAAATTGTCGTTGAAGACGAGTATACCGGTTCCGAGTTGCTTCCGAAGTAAATTGGCCATTCAAATCGTCATAATTAACCATTTGACAATGGCGTTCCTTATGACGTCACAGATGAAAAGTTGTATTTATTCGTCGAAATTACTGGCCGACCCAACTTTGCTTCAATGGCCGTTTCTATTTTCTGGTTAACATTTTTCGTCTGTCAAGCTCCATAATGCCTTACTGCTCGGCTCCAAGCTGCGCTAGAAGAAAAAATGACATTGTAGGATTGTTGCGGAGACATTTTACTGCCTCAAATTAGCGTATCCCTATAAAATCTTTGGAAAAATGACCAAAAATGGTTCTATGCTGTGTTTGGGGTCAAATTTAACGCATTAGATCGTTTTTTATTCTTATTGCGTTATATATTTAGATAGCATATATCTTAAAGTTCAAAATCCACCTTTCGGTTTCATTCTAGCCCTTATAACAGCGGACTTATTCGATTCGGTACAACAACACGACGAAAATTTCTCATAAGACCCCATTGTTTCGCGTTTCGAAAATATGGCACAAGATGGCGTCCATGAACTTGTTTAACATTAGGCAAGTTGGTTGCCGGCCGTTGGTTAAACAGAATCAATAATTTAAATTAAAAGGAGCTTGTCACGATATTCCTGTTCTTATTAACAAGATCTTTTGATATTTTATTTGTCAACAACTCTCCATCTCTATGTCTATGTTAGTGTAATAATATCGGTTCATGAAATCTTGGGAAAGGGAATTCATTGATAGTTGATACCGTGTATTGTTTTGGCCCTCACAGATGAAGTAAAAATACTTAAACAATTACTGATTAAAAAACAACAAACCTGGTTAAGATATATTGAGAACCGACTTAATAACAAAATTGAAAATTGTGAAGGGACGTCATTGACTGGTAGATGACTGGTACTTACCTATTAGCAAATAGTGACATAGTTTAACATCGAAGCAGATTCTGCAGCGTTCTCAAGTCATCCATGAGAGGGGAACCATGATAATAAACTTCAAAAACAAAACAAAAATCTACAAAAGTGTATTTGCATTTGAGGACATTGGTGAAGGGGTGGCCCACTGACTTCCATTAATTATCCCAGAACCTAAAATGTCCGAATGAATCGAATATTTTGATACATAAAGAAATAAATACAGCGTTTGGAGAAGGAGGAATGGTGTGAAATCATGTCAAATTGGAAAGAAGTGTTTCTCTGTTCTTCCAACCATATTAAAACATTTTATGTTATTAATATTACAAACTTTTTTATTCCAGGTTACACAAGAGATGCAAGCCAGTGTGAAGTGGGGTTTAAGTGACGGAGAAGTTGCAAGAAGACGTGAAAAACATGGATGGAATGAATTTGATATCAAGGAGAATGAACCACTGTGGAAAAAATATCTTGGACAGGTAGGAGAAATATTTTTATCTAAATAACGAATAAATTGAGATTTTTCTATTTGAAATTGCTACTAATCATCACTTACCGTATTTTCCCGAAATTACGCCTATATCGAGAATAGGCCGACTCCCTAAAAACGGCCTTAAAACAACGATTTTATAAAAAATCGCACATAAGCCGGTCCTACGAATCGTTACACGCCGGACGCTTTAAGAAAAACATAATAGAGAACAAAATTACTGTACCGCAAACATTTCTCACGTTTATGGTTTCTGCATGTTAGCGAGGGCCGTAGGTGGATTATTACCCGTAACTCTAACTTGTTAATTTATGTTAATAAAGTCTATATTGCTTTTCAATGTGTGGTGATTGTGTCGAGAGTTTAAAATAGAGTTCCTGAATCAGCATAAAACAATTTCCTTTGTTGCCACAACGACGATTGATTTCGTTCCTTGTCCGTTTCAAGGAAAGAAATAATGCTGTATTAACACATTCTTATAAATCACTACGAATCTTAACACGCCAGACTCCTTAAGAAAGGCGCAGAAAGAAAACAAAATTGCTGTAGCACAAATATTTCTAACGTTTATCATTTCTGTTTGTTAGCGACGGCCTTCTAGATCCTTACTCGTAACTCTTACTTGTAAATTCATGTTAATAAAGTCTATATTGCTTTTCATGCGTCGTGATTTGTATTAATGGAAGGGATTGTTGTCGGGAATTTGAGAGAGTCCCTGAGTCAGCATAAAACAATTTCCTTTGATCGTCCACAACACGGTTAATTTCGATAAGAGTCCTTATCACCGCCCCTGAACGGATAACATATCCATATAGTAAAGGTGATTAGAAGTCGTGCACCGTTAATTGCCTCTACGGCGAAAGTGCACCAACGAAACAACTGGCCGTAAATCGACACTGTTGCTGTTATATAAAAGAAACACAAGCGAAAACAAACAATCACAGCCTGTACAAGCGTCACGTGTTAAACAACCAATCACAGACTGTACAAGCCATCAGCTGTATGATAAGACAATCCACTTTCACAAGCGAGTGTGTGTGTGCGCGACGCTTTTTATCGTGAGAACTTGGTATGATTTGAAGCTTTTGGAATTACCGGCAAGTCAGCATAATATCATCTCGTTGCGTGATCAAATTCTGATACGTGAATGAGCCGATTTTTTTGATGCAATCTGAGTCATGCGCGTATAAGACGGTCCCTTAGTTTGGCAACTTTTTTTTTGAGTTTTAAACTCGGCCTATACGCGATCATATACGGTATATTGTGCCTCGTCGTTGTAGGGTAGTTTCCGCTGGTTACCGGGGAATCTAGCAATTCTTTTCGCACATAATAATTCTTCACAGCAGCGGTTCCCAAAGTTTTTGTTTGTGCAGCACTAAATTATCAGGGACAAAACTCACGTTCTCAAAATTAGTTCAGCAGATAAATGAATTGCAGCAAGTAGTGTCTTTACGTAACAACAAAGGCAGACACTACATATCATAAAGCAATGACATAGAAAGGTAAAATGAATTTATTGATTCAAATACACAGCATTTATAATAAAATACTATATGTAAAATATTTACTCATATACTAGTCATATTTAACACAATTCTGTCAATTTTCGGGGTGCACTCAGCAAATCGCCCACTTTGGGAACCGCTGCCCCTCAGAGTTCGGAGCTGCGACCCATGCCTGTCCGATCCAAGCCTGCCGAACAGAGGTGTCAAAACATCGAAGTTTATAACTAGACTATATTATGTTGAAACATTTTCGCAGTCATCATCATACGCTTGTATCATTTAAAGTTTCTTGCTATTACCATTTCCATCTTGTTCTCAGTTCAAAGACCCAATGATTCTTCTATTACTTGCATCTGCTGTGATTAGTATATTTATGCGCCAATATGATGATGCATTCAGTATCACTGTTGCCATAACGATTGTTGTCACGGTAGCATTCGTTCAAGAATACAGATCGGAAAAATCTCTAGAAGAATTGAATAAATTGGTACCTCCCTCATGTCACTGGTAAGTCTTGAGAGCAACTAAAATTTTTATAATTTTTTTTTATGAATAACGGTTTGATGGCTTTTCCTATTTTCCTTTTTTACACATTCTAAAATAATATTATCGAATATGGAATATCAAATATATATTTGATTAAGTTATTTCTACAAATATATTCTCAGAAATCAATGCAAATTCATAATGTGGTAATCAGTAATTTTTTCTTTACCATGCTAAAAGTACTAACTATACATACCAATACATGAATTAAAGAAAATACAAAAAAAAGTCATTCCAGGGTGAAAGGATACACCGAAAACCAACACTGATTATCAAACGGTGTCACCCTTGGGGAAGTCTAAACTGTTTCCACATGCTTGATTGCATTTTAGTCTGCCCCTGTCGTATATACTATATTACTTATGTGTTTCTTTTCATATTATCCCCTTTATTTTGTTTCAGTATCCGAAATGGCAAACTAGAAAAATTCCTCGCTAGAGAACTCGTTCCTGGTGACACAATCATACTTTCTGTTGGTGATAGAGTCCCTGCTGATGTCAGACTTATTGAGGTTTGTTGATGTTTCGTTTCTAAATGGTTGTTTGTTTACTTGAGTTGTTATCAAGTTGTTTCATGATCTCTGGTCCCTTTTCAACACTTCATGCCCCTTACTCTTCGATAACAAAAATAAACCTAATAAAAGCTTCTGAAAATCCGTAATGTGTTTTCATTGGTTACTTTATTCGCCATGTTTATTAATAAAAATCCAGCAAACTAAATAAATAGATGCTTTGGAGTTTAATAATTTGAACAAATCACGGCCAATTTACTTTGAATAAATGTAGTCATGATGAATTGAACCTAGTGAAGGGTTAAAATGTGGGCTAGTTTAGCGGTTAACCCAAACACCACAAATTGGGCTTCACAATAGTCATCATTCCAAACAATATTATCTGAGTGGGCTGCCTTGCTCATGGCAGGTGACTTTTTCTGGCCCTATGTGTGGGGAATTTTAATGGAGTTTCAAAATTTGTCCAAAATTTTCAAACATCATTAACTTACAACTTTTAAAGGTAAGTCATCAAGTTAGAAATCTTTAAAATCTTCCATTGCTCAGTTTCCCCAATGATTGGTTTTACAAGCATCTCAATACCATGAATCTTTTTGTTTGACAGGCTGTTGATCTTCATATTGATGAAAGCAGTTTCACAGGCGAGACTGAGCCAGCTGTTAAATGCACTGGTATACCTGAGAAAGACAATGTGGATGGACTTGCATCTCGTGATAACATTGCTTTCATGGGTACTTTGGTCAGGTGTGGCAATGGAAAGGTGAGAATATTTTTAAGACGTATAATAAAATATTTATTTTAATTTTGATAATTTAGTGTAATGTGATTTAGTTTCATTGTGAAATGTTGATATTAATTGTCTCAATTATAGAAAATGTGTTTTTTGATGGCTCTAGTTTTTAGTATATACATATAAAGCAAGCCCGTGCAGCTAAGACACATATTTATCGATTTCCTTCATTGTACGTTCAGCCAAAGCCTGGCTAGTCCTGACTTGATTGTGGTATGATCTTTTTTCGAGGTAGATTGATTTGTTTTTATGCTTTTGATGAATGTTTGCTCAGGGCGAGGTCACCAAAAATAACCCTGAAAAGAAACTATTCATTCAAAAATAACAATCATGCAAGTGTTCATGCAAGGTGGGAAACTACAATACTAAATTACTTGAAAGAGGCACAATTTGAAATCAAAATTCTTTAACACTATTTCTGATTAACGTCTTTATATTTTCAATTCTTAGCTAATTTTTCATTTTTACAGGGTATTGTAATAAGTATTGCGGAACATTCAGAATTTGGTGAAGTGTTTCGAATGATGCAAGCTGAGGAATCACCTAAGACTCCATTGCAACGTAGCATGGATACTTTGGGGAAAATGCTTTCTTTCTATTCTCTATGTATTATTGGTGAGCTATTTTGAAGTGATTAAATAATTTGATTTCATGCCCTGCATATGAAACTTAGAACTGGTTGCTTTAATAACTATTAGCATGACGGTTGAGAGGCTGTGATTCGTGATATTATTTGGCCATCTATTGTTTTTTTCACTTAGGATAAACATGAAAAAATCCTATCTTCATTATAACTATCAAACAATGCGACAAGTATGTCTGTGCTGTTTTTTTTATAGAATTACCTCCCAATACATTTTACTGAATTGAAAGTTACATCATTCTAGCACAGGGGTGGGCTAATTCCGGCCAGCTGAAGTGCTTTATCCGACCTACTTGTGCCTGTATGAATTACGACTATAGTTTTTTGTCAATAAAAATTTGCGTTGAAAATTAAAAAAAAATACAGAATAGTTAGCTAAAATATAGACCATAATTCTCGACGTATTATCTGCACCTGGATATAATCTGCCACTTTGTACACCAGCTGTTTGTTGTACATTATCTGTTACGTCAGTTATTTAAAAATAAACTGTTTTTTATTCATAGTCTCATATTGAGTGTTGAGTCTCCGGCCCAGTAACCAAGTCTATAATCTGTAACTGGCCCACTCAGAAAAGTGATTGCCCACTCTTTTTCCAACAGCTTCTTTATTCACTCCCTAGATGCTAAGTTCTTGAATGTTACTCTTTTGCAAATAACGTTATCAGCATGAGTTATAATTTCTGTCGATTTTTCAGGTGCAATCATGATTTTAGGCTGGATTCAAGGAAGACCTCTATTGGACATGTTTACTATTGGAGTGAGGTATGTAGAATGAATTATAATAATGGGTGAACTTTGACAAGATTGATTTGGTGTTGTATAAGTATAGACCTCATAATCAGCATAACAATAAAATGATTGATGGGTAATTACAAAATCAGAAGAGCAAACAAAATCGTAGATAAGGTTTAAAACGTACAGAATACATAAGAGGGAAGGTTTTGCCAAGAAGTGGTATGTGTTCACTCACCTACAGTTATTAAAGCTGTTCACACACACTCACCCGTGCACACACAATCAGAGAGACATTATAAAGTAAGAAGAAAAAAATAACATAGTAAACCAAAACGAAAAAATGAATAACAGTTACTTGCCACACCATATTAAAAAATTTATGATGGTTGCCACTGCCAAATTTTTTGTCATTCAAATTTTATTGTACCATGAGTCACATTCACAAGCTTGGGATTATTGTGATAATATGCTTATTTGTTTTAATCAATCTTTAATTAATTGATTTTTTTTACAAGTTTTATACTAGAGCAGTGGTTCCCAATCTTTAAAGACCCCCCTCTTATCATTACAGTGGTATTTATAGTGTTATTCTGATTGGTAGACTCTGAGATTGGTAAATTCCATGCTCAACAAAGAGAAAACATCCTGTGATATGAACTTAACAAGCAACGAGACTATGGGAGAGCTGGGAGTCTTCTTGTACCTATTTCGCGCCTAGCATTGTGGCCCCCTTGAGGGAGCACGTGCCCCAAATGGGGAACCGCTCCACTAGAACATGTTGATTGAAACCTTTATTTATTCAACGTTCAAAATTTTTCATTCAAGTCATTTTTTCTTTACAGTTTGGGAGTTGCTGCAATTCCTGAAGGACTTCCGATTGTGGTTACAGTAACATTAGCACTTGGTGTCATGAGAATGGCAAAGAAAAGAGCAATTGTGAAGAAATTACCAATTGTTGAAGCCTTAGGTTTGTAACAAACTAAGAATTTCAGTTATAGTTTATATTCAAAATTTTAATAAGTCGAATAAAGGGGGATAGCTCTTGGCACTTTGATGGTTACTCGAACTTCACTCAATGATTAGTTGGTTCTGAATGAGTGGACGTGGCCTTACTTTGAGCAAATTACTGCTACAGGTTTTTTACCGGGATCTTCTCTAGCACATAAATAGTTAGGTCTTTTATATTGAATGTTTTATGTTTTATCCAAGACGTCCATTAATTAAAAAAATTTTCAAAATTTCAAAGGGAATTTATCGATACAATATATTGTTTTGGCTCTCTCAGATGTATTAAATGAAGTAAAAATACTTGAACAATTACGGGTTAAAAAACAACAAACAAGTTTATTGAGAGCCGACTTCATAACAAATTGAAATTGTACTTTATGGACACCCTGTATATATTAGACAAACCATGTAAAACAGTAGTCCTAATGTGAAAAAGGGGTTTATAATTTTTCAGCCTATCTTGATTACTAAACTATTTTATATTCTAGGATGTGTGAACGTGATATGCTCAGATAAGACAGGAACATTGACAAAGAATGAAATGACAGTGACTAAGTTGTTCACAACTAATAATGAAATTGCAGAGGTGTGTTAAATTTTGTAGTTAAAGCGTTAGACGAACGAGGATGCCATCACAGGTTAAAGTCTCTGTTAAATCACATGCCCATCTCATTAGAAAATGTGTTTGCCATCAGCGAGTTTTTGAAATCGTTGCATGTCTTTACTTAAGCAAAATAGTAATAGTTTTATGCAGTGATACTTCGCATACATGCAATTACTATTGAGCAACACCTCAACGCTAAATATGAAATAAACAGTGAAATATACTATAAATTAGAGTTAGTAACTTTCTGGTTTTTAATTGAAAAAAGTGAGTGGCCCAAGAAAATTTGCAGGCGACCCTGTTTTGGGTCGCGAGTCATAGGTTGGGAAACACCCGAATCGATAAAGACGAAACGGAAATGACGGCTTTTCCAAAATAAAGTAGCATTTTACATATCAGTGGATGCTTAAACAGAGTTGTTTAAAGGGGCTGAAACTTATGGGCAGGGGGTCCCTGAGACGGTCCCTGAGTACCAATAAATCTTGAGTAAATTATGTTTTAGGTATCTGGAGTTGGTTACAATTCAGATGGGCTTATTACAGTAAATAATGATCTGGTGAATCGTCAATCTCATCCTTGTGTTGCAAGCTTGGTGGAAGCAGGAATAGTTTGTAATAACGCAACCATAAGAGATGGTGGCCTATTTGGACAACCAACAGAAGGAGCTCTTGTGGCTTTAGCTATGAAGGTGAATTTCATATTTTTTCATTCTACACAAAAGCATGCTACATAAATCAGGATTACTATTGAATTTATGAAATGAAAAGTGTCAGGTTTAAATTGAGATAAACACATTTCAAATACTTCAAAAAATAATTTCCCATCAAAGCATTTTAGATTACTTACATATATGGGGTCTGGTATAGTTTAGTACCACAAGTACTCCTGGTGGGCATAGCATAACGATTTTGCTCATGTCATTCCTAACCCCCACCTGACTATGTCACTTGACTGACACTATGGAAGGCTTTATTACGCTACTGGAACATCGTAGTGACGTTATTTTCAGGTGACGTAGTCAGTTGGGGTTAGGAACGACTTATGCAAAAGTTGGTAAGCGAGGCCAACTTGAAGTGATTATGGTACTAAACTATACCAGATCCATATATGCACAGATAATTTGAAAAAGAAGCCATGGGATTCTTTTATCTAGATATTAGCACATGTATATCTGAGTAGATCTTGAGCCAAAGTTTTCTTTAAAGCAAATTTATGAAACCACTTGTTGTGAGCTTTAATATCTCATTTTATTTGTATTTTTTTTCTTAAATTAATGGTCAACCTTTTATCCAGATCTTATATAAGAGTATCCTCTATCATTTTTAATTGCTTAAATAAAAATAAAAACAGTTAGCTAAATTTGCAAATAGAATAGTGGTGAGCCCTGAGAAACGCCGTGAAAATACATCTGGATACATTGAAATTTTCGCTAAATTTTTTGTTTAAAATTTTAAGTTTCTGAGACACATTTAATTTCAACTCCCATAAAATATTTTAGCCAGCATGATATGTCAAATGAGTTTCATTTGGCTAGAATTCCTCAGTCCTAGAATTTCTCAGTCCTCTGCTATGCTTACACCATATTTACCAATTGAATCAACTAAGCAAATTTTACCAACTTTTATTTCGCAGCTCGATATGGAGAGAATCAAAGACACGTACGATAGAATATCAGAACAACCATTCACCCATGAACAGAAGTGGATGTCGGTTACTTGTGTAAAGAAAGGAGATAGAGTGAGTATGGAATGTATCTACATAGGCTATTATTTTGGAGTGGCGATATTCCTAAATTTGATATTAACTGATGAGATGGACTTGACTTTCCATGTCCTCTTTGCCTATTTACAGTATCATTGAGTATGGAGACAGTGTAGCAGTTCTGTGGTTCCGAATTCATAGACGTGGTTAGTGAAGGAGGCTGCAGACTGTCAAAGTTTGTGGTTAATGAGATCTTCATAATCAGTTATATCAACATGTTTGCAACTAATTTTCTACTAACGCTCCTGTCCCAACTTCAGATTATTTGAAAGATAGACATTGCCGTCAGTAGTATTCTACTGATTACTGTTGTGAATAAATAATAGAAAATTGTTTCGTGTTGTTGCACATTATACCACAATCCACCTTTTTGTTTTAGTCATCAACGCCAAACCTATTTGTCAAAGGAGCAACTGAGCGAGTTTTGAAACTTTGCACAACTTATCAAACATCATCTGGTGACCAACCATTGACCATGAAAGACAATCAAAGATTTCTTGATCAAGCAACTAGCATGGGTTCCACTGGACTTAGAGGTGGATTATTATTGGCTGTTTGGTTGTTGATTGGGCCAACAAATAAAGTACCAATGTCTGAATCTGGGGTGGGCAAATTACCTTCCATGGGTCGGATCCGGCCCACCCTTAGTGTTTCATCCGGCCCACTTATGGCCGCTAAAATTATGACTCTAGTTTTTATAGATATGTTTCCTTGTAACTATCTGAAAATAACGTCATCCCGATTATTACATTTTGCTTCTTATCATAATATGAACGTTAGCCTAGCTGTTGGACTAGCTTTTTTGATTAAACTGCTTTTTATTCATGGTTTTTCGTGTTGAGTTTTGATTCTCCGGCCCAGTAACCAAGTCTATTATCTGTAACTGACCCACTCGTAAAGTATTCGCCCACACCTGGTCTAAATTAGCCCAAAATTAAATGCGATATGCCCAAAATATCTTGTTTGTAAACTGGGTGTGGAGGTGAAATATTGATAAATTTGCTATCAGTGCGCACAACATCATTATACCTGTTAAAGATACGATACAGAGTAAGACTGTCGGAAACTAATCAATATTCAAAAGCATTTCATATTAGGTATGTCCTATTCAGTTTGTCATATGATCAGATTGCATGGTCAGGTTGTAATAATTATAATAATTTTATATTTCACAATAAAAAGATTTTTTCCTGAACATGCTGTAGTTTAATAACTATCATGTTTTTATTGAAACAGTTTTGATTGCCGGTAGTGGTAATCTGTTCGTTATAGCTAAAATGGAAAAAACTTTTTTATTTCGCCACAAATTAATTCAACGAATTTTATTAACAGTGCTAGCCATGGCTCGAGGAACAGAGGCAATGAATTTGACATTCCTAGGACTGGTTGGAATTATCGATCCACCTCGGCCTAGAATGCAGGAAACAATTCAGATTTTACAAACTGCTGGTATCAGAGTTGCCATGATTACTGGTGATGCAAAGGAAACTGCTCTGGCTATAAGTAAGATGATAGATTGTTTTTTTTTTGAATGGGATAGGATTTTTATTGCAAATTTTGACACTCCAGAAGCATGCGTACCAATATGGAGGTAACTAATTTTGTTCGCCTACTTTACATCAAGTCGTGTAATTGGACTGAAACCTATAGGCAGGGGGTATATTCACTTGGCTAACACAAACATTCTCCGAACTCGTAATAGAATTTCAATAAGGAAAATCGGAATAAAATTATGGTCTAACCCTAACCTGATACACATACTTCGGGAGTATCCGAATTTTTGGGAGGAAAATTTGAACAGAAGTCATATTTGGTGCAGTATATCCTGTCATTTGGTTGCCGGTTCAGATAAAAAATATGGTCATTGAATTACTGAGGTATAAGTCTTGTTGAGCACATGGGCGTGTCTGAATAAAATTTTAGAATAAAACCCCATACCCACCACGTCGCTCGTGGAGTGATAAATTGAGTTTGGGATATTCTGAACAAGCACTTTTTTTTATCTTACTGTATAGTGAGCTTACTGAATATTAATTCTGTAATCAGTTTTCTTTTGTTTTTATCAATTTTTTTATTCATTATTGCAACTAAATAAACTTCTACTTTTGATTAATATACAGATTCTGGTGCGAAACATTGAAATGCTCTGTGAGGAATAGTTTCAGTTGTAAGACTTGTAACAATTTGTTCCTGTTATTTATTTATTATTAGGTCGACGACTTGGTATGCATGTCAGTGGCAACAAGTGTATGTCAGGAGAAGAAGTTGACTGCAGTGATGTCCATTCTCTCGCTGATATTTTGCCAGACATTTCCGTCTTCTACAGAGCAAGTCCTAAGCATAAACTTAAGATTGTGAAGGTCAGTTTCATTGTTTGTTGAATTTTAAAAAATGGGTACTCTGGTAGTATGTGCACCAAGACACCTACTACGTTCCGGTGTCTGCCATCTTGGTACGCATACTTCATACTACTTGATGAAATGTTGGTGATTCATGGGGATCCTGTGAAGCTGTAGAATTGCTGTTTTGGTCGTTTTCTATCGATATTGGAATCAGGGCAGGAATCATATTTTCAAACTCCCTGAAGGTTAAATTCTGAATCATTTGCACTGTGAATTCCCAAGTTCGAATATTCAGAGTTTTATCAGTAAAAATTTGAGTCAAATTCATTAGTGCAAACATAAACAAGCATATTTCAACTATACTTGTCTGAAGAACAAAACGTTACAAAAATACATTCGTGTTAGTGTGTAGGATTCTTGAATCCGACATGATAAGTCAAATAAAAATTTATTATTAAAGTCAATAACTCAAACAGACAGAGCACATGCTCAAAATAGCATCAAGGACAGACAGTCCTTTTACAGCTGAATGAACAGTATTTATACTACTCACCAGTGAGGCATGCAATAAAATAATGACATGACATGACAGTAATTATTACTGTAAACAAAGAAATAGCTATCACCATAGGCTACCTACAGTATCCTTGCATTATACACACACATATCTAGTTGTGCTAAGGCATACATTGAAGTTAGGCAGTTAGTGTTGCGTAACCAAACTGATAGTTACTCTTGAATTGCAAAGAAGAGTCTTCTTTATTCCTGCTACATCATCCTTGCATTATACATATACAGATCTACTTGCCCAAAGGCATAAAGCAAGAAATTGTAATTGGTCGCACATAACCCCAACTGATATGTGATGTGTACGGTAATTTATAAATCAATTTTTACTCTTTCAGGCTCTTCAAGAAACAGGCAAGATTGTAGGAATGACGGGGGACGGAGTGAATGATGCTGTTGCATTGCGTAAAGCTGATGTTGGTATTGCCATGGGAACAACAGGAACTGACGTTTGCAAAGAAGCTGCCGACATGATTCTTGTGGACGATGATCTGACTACTATATTGTAAGTAGATGTTTTAGTGGTGTCAATTTTTGTCATTGCTTGATAATTGATGCCATATTGAAATTTAAAAAAAGAGAGGTGACTTGCTGATGCTTTGTAGACTGCCTGTCATTCTTCAAACTTTTTCATATACTGCGGAATAAACTGCACTCTAATGTTAATAATACATGTACTAATATCCTATTTCAGATCGGCCATTGAAGAAGGCAAAGGAATATTTTATAACATAAAAAATTTTGTAACATTTCAATTGAGCACGTAAGTTGAATTCTAACTTTGTTGCTTCTTATTTTACTTATTCAAAACACAGCACTTTACCTTTTAAACTCTAATCTAGCGGTTTTTGAATTTTCATGATCTGTGATTATTGCTCGCAGAATGTATATTGACTGAAAAAAAATAGAACTGCAACATACGTTCGTCACAAAGACCAGTTTTAGTGTGTTCCATGACGTGGCCTAGACTTGATCACTAGAAGTACTAATATTATTATGTCATATACCAAATATAAAGCGTAGAATATAGCAGGTTTTCATGGACATTTTATTATAGACTTTCAACACTCGAGACCCTCTGCTATTCATTATAATAACTTTGTTTTGTTTTATCAAGTTTCCATCATTAGTTTTGTTTAAGATGTTTAATAATAAAAAGCCAACGGGAGAAAAAAAAATGGACCCAGTTTGAGAAACCATTCACAAAACTATCGAACTCATTACTTACCGTATTCTTTTTTGCAGGAGTATTGCTGCTTTATCATTAATTGCACTAGCAACTGCATTCAGACTGCCTAATCCATTGAATGCAATGCAGATATTGTGGATCAATATTATAATGGACGGCCCTCCTGCCCAAAGGTAGGTTTTTGTAGACAGAATGTGAAATTAAATATTTATTCTGGGATAGAAGAAAGCCAATGAGACGGCTTACTTGTGTGGTTAATCACGGCCTCCCTCCAGTTACCAGTCCATGTCAAGTATGGGGATAGTTGGCTATTACTCGTTTTAGATGCATGGCCCTGTCGCATGTACCACACTTAGTTTTGTATGTCCGTGGCTAATTGTCTAAATCTTGTGTGAGATGAATGTATAAAGCAGGTATAAAATAAAAAATAATGTAATTATGGATATGAAAAGACCGGAATATTTTTTGATGCGACTTTGTCCTCCCAATTTATAACCTACACATGTTTTCTTACATTTGTGAAGTCTTGGATGTGAATCCGACAACATAGTTTAGATTTTGAGCTGATTAACCATGGGTGCCTCTAATATGATGTAAGATATGTCAAACCAATTTTCGTAAATTTTAATTCATTTTTTTAGTTCACACCTTGACTTTTTATAAGGCCCTATACAGAAGTTTCACCTAAAGTTTTACTTACTATGAACTTGGTTTTATTTTCAGCTTGGGAGTTGAGCCAGTGGATCCAGATGTTATTCGCCAACCACCTCGTAAGATGAGTGATCCTATATTATCAAAAGGATTGATTGGAAGAGTTTTACTTTCTGCTACGTTGATTGTAGCTGGAACATTGGCTGTGTTTTGGTTGGAGGTAAAATGAACTTTGATACTTGGTATTTTATACATAGTGTACAGTGAACTCTAACTCCCGAGTTTAGGTTGAAAAAAACTTTAGCTCAAACTCCCGACTCTTTTTTTAAAATGTTTGACCACAGTACCAACTCAAAGTAAATCAAATTTTGATAATGGAAACTTTGGAATATGCAAGTCTTCTTTATCAGACTTCGTTAATTGAGAACGCTGAGTAAAATCAAGGATTTATGAGTTTTAGTAGGAAGTTGGACTTATTAACTTTGGAAGTCCGCAATTCTGACTCGACAATGGGCAATTCAGAATTTTGACTCGACCTCAATAAATTTCAAAATATGGTTCTTGACTCTGTCTCCAGTTAACACATGGTAAACTTCACCCCACAGCTAATGTATATCGTTTAAGGTAGTTGATAGTTAATTCTGCAGTTGACCTTCACTTGGTTAGTAACAGTTGTGATATTGCAATGTAACATAAATACTGTGTACGAAAATACTATCAATGTTATTCTAATTTGATAATTCATCAAGAACTTGGGATAATTTGCATTTTTATAAACCTTTATGCAAATTCTTGTCTTAAGTTCTTATTTTGTCAACTATTGAATCTGCCGGTCGTTCTTGATTTATTAATTATTATAATTATATTGTGCAGGAAGGGTTGCAGTCATAAATATTTCGTTTAGTGTTAAATCCCTTATGTCAATGTTTGAATTTTTGTTTTTTCTATTCCAGATGAGAGATAATGAAATCACTCCACGAGATACAACAATGACTTTTACTTGTTTTGTATTTTTTGATATGTTTAATGCACTCAGCTGCAGATCACAGGTATTATTAGATTATTTTATTTCAATTTATTAGTCTTGAGTTATTTCCTTCCCCAAAGCTCTCTTCCTGTGTTTGTTAACCCAGACTAGTTCACATCATGCCTCAAAACAATCAGGATTAGGATTTACATATTTATCCCGGGGGAGAAGAAAATCGATAAGACGGCTTATCCATATGGCAGACCACGACATCTCGACCGGTTACCAGTCCACGTCGGGTATGGGATTAGTTAGCAAGTTTTCGGAAGCATGGACTTGGTGGTGGAGGAAGCTGTAATCGACCAGTGGTTATGTGAACCACCCTACGGCGGCGAGGAGTCTAGCAATCCTCATTCACATAACCAACTCAGCATGGGATGCGAACCCACGCAGGGTAATCAGAGGTGCAGTGACGAGTGTGTTCCTGCATGATGCGCCACACCGCCGAGCCATAATCACCTGGTTTTGACAAGTTCTTGCTCAACAGGATTCTATTTTGGATTCAATATACCCCACCAAACTTGTTGATGCCAACATAGTTACAAAATATTTATCTGTGTAGTATTTTCAAACAAATCAAGAGCAGAATTTCCACCATGCAAAAAATTGTGTCAAAATAAGAAAATTTTTTTTGAAAATAGGTGCTATTTACTAGTCTGTGAATGCTATATATCCCTTTTTCATTGTGAAAGTGGGGAAAGCTCCCCAAAAATAAGAGGGAATTCCCTTCAAATTCTTGCCTATTCTAGAACTACTATGGTCACGATATGGTCACATTAGCTTTATACTGTAGCTTTGTGCCGTAATATGCTCAATACCTAATCTTGGCGCCAGTTCATATATATCTCTCACAGTCAATTTTTAGCCAAATATGTGCTTATATACGGTTCCACTGTTCGAAATTCTGTTTTTTTTGCGATACAAATTTGCAATATTTTGATTAAAAATTAAATTATTATTTATTTCAGAAAAAATCTATTTTTAAAATTGGATTCTTCACAAATCGTGTGTTTTTATTTGCTGTCGGAGCTTCACTCCTCGGACAAATGTTGGTGATTTATTTTCCTCCTTTACAAGCAGTGTTTCAAACAGAGGCTTTAACTATTTATGGTAAGTTGGTATTTTGTTAAAAATCTTGTCAAGCGTAGTCGTTTACTAAACTTGTTGAAGTTTTTGTAATGGTTTAATATAAGATGGAATTCAGTGGTTCTCAAATAGTGGGACGCTCCCCACAAGGGGGGCGTAGACAGTTTTTTTGAGGGGGCGTGAAGCTAAATAATTGGATTTGATCTTGCCTGCCCTATTTGGGATATTTACATATTCTTTATTGTTTTGAGATTGCGATTTGATGCTCGTATTTTCAACATGTTTTTTGAATAAAACATACTTTCGCGCTATAATCTGTTATTTGTAGATTATTGTTATCTAGTTATTTTTGAGGGGGGTGGGGCACAGACTTGACAAATTCTAAAATTATAAAACAATTATGGTGCATTACTAAAACGAATTTTGGTGTCTGGTACTTTTGTGGTCACGGTATGGTTACATTAGCTTTATACAAAATTTCAAAGCGTGCAGCAATTTATTTGTGACAAATAGTTGAATTCGTAAATTTAAATCTGTTGCTTTAAAAAAAAAATTATTTATATTAGTAGAATGTTTCTCTAAAGCAGGGATGGCGAACCTTTTTCAATGAATGGGTCAAAAATCATATTTTTATCGCGGAACAGAAGAGAGTGGGTCACATATATTTAATCAATGTTTGTATTTATAAGAAACTTCTTAAATCCTAGAAGCTTCTGTTGGTGTTGGTGTAGTTTTGTGCTTTACTCGTGCAGCACTTCTATCAGGGATTTTGTCTGAAGATTTGAAAAATTTTGTTCTCTACTAACTAATGAAATAAAAAGTAGCATCTAGTTCTTGCATAACCCCTAAAACAGTCTGCAGATGCACTTTCGAAATAAGTTGCGAGAAATGAACCGATCAATCAATTGCATTGTTATGTAACAAACGATGTCAGAGCCAATCCGGAATTACGGTACAGACATGCGTCCAACATTGGGGGTTTTGAAAATTACCATACCGGCCCGGAATTTAACAATATGAGAGATCGCAGCCCTGACTGCCCAACTGACGGTACACTATAATATTTAAGTTATTGTTAGATTGATTTAAGGCCGGTTTTATCACTGACATGTTAGCATTTTTTATTCGTGCCTTGGTGGGTCACGAATAAAACTCGGTGGGTCACTTTGTGACCCGCGGGTCAGTGGTTCGACATCCCTGCTCTAAAGCAAACTTATTTATTGTTAACATTTTATTTTTCAGATATTTTGCTTCTACTTGCGCTTGCATCAACAGTATTTATATCTTCGGAAATTATAAAGGTTTGTTTACCAAGCTACAAACTCGCTAAAGTACAATCTAGTAAATTTGGGTCATATGTGTGAGTGGAATCTTCTGAAATTTGTGGCATCTGGATGATGCCATCTCTAAGTTGATGCCACTGCCAGATGTACTTGATGCAATTTACTTCAATGCAGTAAATCAAGAATGCTTATATAGCATGCCAGGCTATGATTCTTTAGAAACATCAGAAACATGGATTTCTCAAAACATCCCACAACCTCTTGGACACCTAAACACTGCAGTTGTTCAAAAAAAAAGCCAGGCAGTGGCAAGGATGAACTTGTACTAGAAATCTAGTTAGTTTAATTGTTCAAAACAGAGTTATTTTGCTGTTATTGTCAACAGCTCTTATTTACCACTGTGGTGCATTGTCTATATCGACTCTAAAACTTAATAAAATTCCATGACTGTTTACCTTAGATATGGCTTCTTTTTTTCACTGAGTCTGTGCTTATGAAATGATCAACTATTTAGCCATGCGCATAATTACTGGTATCTGGACATATGTTATTATTTAGCAATTTTAGTGTTTTCAATCTTCCTTGTATCAGTTTTTGTGCTTTAACAATGAATAATCTGCTCTGGTACATACAGCAATACTTGTAGCTTAACAGACTGAATTTTCCTGTTTGGCACATCATTCCCAATTTTTACACTAGGTGATGTCATTGTATTAAAAATCTTCAAACTATGACGACAAGATAGGAAAGTACAAACGCTATACATACCGTTAGACCCAGAACTTTTCTATGGAGTTGCTTGCTTAAAGCAAAGTTGCGGTTCCACAAAGAACTTTTGAATGTAGTGCTAGAGTTTAATTAATTTGAAATAGGTGATCTGTATGTCTGTAAGTCAGTAAATAATAATTAGCGAAAGTACTTGATTATTTCATGAAAAGAACTTTTTTTAATAATTTTTGCTTTAAATTGTATTTCTTTACAAAACTACCATTATTCAAGATTTTATTTCAATTTATTAATAAATTATTTTACGTTCTATTTTGGCATTTCGTTTGTTGTGGGAAGATGAATATATTTCTAGTACAATTGTTCTGTTGTCGAAGCTCTGTGCAATACTGCAGGTCCGATCCATAAAAATGTAATAAACAAATCTGTTCCATCCTATTTATTTACCTTGAAATGCTCTTTGGTTTTCTGATTTTTTTTTCTTTGTAGAGTTGTTGGTGAATTTGGCTTCAATGAAATTTAAACATTTTTAGAAAAAGTTGTTCTTAGGGTATAGTTCATTTTTATACGGCTAATTAGAAGAGTGTGTTCCTAGCGACTGTGTTCCTGTCTGCTTTCCTGTTAACGGATCCATATGCACTGACTCCAAGGATGTTGTAGCAAGATTTAAAATGGCCATATTAAATGGTTCAAAATCTTCAGACTACTAAACTGCTTGTTTTAGGAAGTCTGGCTTTGGTCAGATGGAAATTTTGTGAGAATATGAAAACTTTTGAATTGCTTAATATCATTTTTTCCATAATATTCTTAGTTTACAAGCAGAATGATAGAGGCAAAATAAATCTTGATAGATTAGAAATTGAAACTAGAATGTCTGACTATTTGGAACGCAGGCTCCATCGAACATGAATCATGAGGCAATATAATATATTATACAGCATTAGATCAGCGTTTCCCAAACTGTGTTCCGCGGAGTCTCTTCCGAGTGTTATGTGGAAATGCCATCAAAAATTGCAGCTAGTACTTCTATTGGAATCAAATTGAGAAACGATAAAACATTTATAATAAATGCATTAAGTAAAATAATTTATCATATTTTAGTTATGTTTAACACAATACTGTTAGTTTTTGCGGCGCATTTGGCAAGTCGCCGCGGCAAACCCATTGGGAACCGGTCCATTGCATCGTTTTTCTATATCAATTTTACCCTTTTATTTTTTGGTGTTCCGCGAGGCGAGATAAAAAGTGTAAGTGTTCCGAGGCCAAAAAAGTTTGGGAAACGCTGCATCAAACAACTGAAAGTAGTATAAAAAACAATATTCGCCAGAATTTCATCCACACTAGTTTCCACACTTTTTGTATGAAAAATATTTTAGAAGTATACCAGGCAAAAGTGTTATATTTTTTTGTTATAATCATAGATTCCCATGTCTGGACAGAGTGTTCTATCATCGATATAAACAAGAATGGATAGTGAATTTGATGGAGGTTGGTTTATTTTGAGCAATATTTGTTAATTTTTCCATATCATGGTATTACACGAAATGTCAAAGAATTTTTATGATTGACAATGAGTTTTGTTTGTTTGGGATCTGTCATGTAGATAGAACGACGGGATTGGGTGCATTTGTTTGAGGTCCCCCAACATCGCGATTGATGGGTCATGAGCCTAGCAAGTTTTAAATTTATAATCCCTAGTAGAAATGCCGATGATGACACTTTGCCTTGAAATAGCGCTAAGTTTGCACTTTCTGTGTGTTTTAGGAAGGACTTAAAAGCATATTGTTTAAATCAGGGTGTTCATGGGCCATATAACCAACTTGAGACATTTAGCTTGGATGAGGTCGGGTTGTGGTCCACAGGCTGCCTGTTGCACACCCATGGTTTAGATAGATTTAATGGAAATATACACTCGATGCAATTTGTTAGTCATTCAGAAATCGTATGAAAAGTTGTATTATAGAACATTTTATAAATAAAGTGACACTCAGTTCTGTGATGCCAAAGAACTCATCCTATACGGCAGTTTGTGTGAATAAATATTAGATGACAGCTCCCAACATTTCTAGGTTTTATGGCACCCTGATGTATTTGGGGTTATTCAGAGAGGCCAAAGCTTTTTTGGTTAGGCTACTAAACAAATAAGCAGTAAGTGTGGATCGGCCTTCACAGTAAAGCATTTATAAGAGCTGAAGAAATATTGGTACTCTCGTAATATGTGTACCAGGTTAGGCCATGATTTTATTCCGATTTTCCTTATTTTAGTTCTATTATGAGTTCGGGGACTGTGTTAAGGCCGCTGCACACATGCCCGGCAGAACGGCATCCGATGGGGATTCCCCATTTGAACGCGTTGTGGCCGACGGCCCTACGGCTTGATTTCTGCGGTTCTAATACACACTATGTGTGTCAATAATCAAGGGGTAAAGTGACGCACGGTTGGATTTTCGACCGTGTTTTGTTAATTGTAATAGGAGTTTTTTTAGTTGGTTTATATGACACGATCATGATGGGATGTTTGCAAAGAGGCAATTAATGAGCCTACCATATGCGAGAATTCCCGTCCTAGATGTTTTGCTTAATCCTCAAACACGTTTCTTCCCTTTATAAAATCTATTCAACCGCGTTATTTTCGCCATGATTATAGAACCACCACCACTAACAAGTCAAAACAATGATTTCATGGCAGCCACACCTCTACCGAATACCCATCATCACTAATGCATTCTGCATTGCCACAGCCCAATCTTAATCTGCGGTGTTTGGTGCATCCATACCATAACGTAATTTAAACCGTGGCTTCTGAAGTGACCACATATATAAACATGTTAATAACTTTCTTAAAACCTATGAACAGGAGACTTAGCCCTCACATGTTGGCCAACCCCTGGAAATTAGCAATCCATCACTCAAATCATAATGATGACATGAATTTAAGAATTTCTGAGCCCATATCCAAATACTATTATTCAAAGTAATATTAATTAGCTACATACATCCAGTAGCCCATTTTCTTCAGAAAATACACAAAACAAGACAACATCACTGTTTCATTATTACATTTCCTATTTTATTTTGCCCAAAACGAATGAAAACGCCACATGAAAAGAATAACATTAAAAGCATGACTAAAATATAAGCCATAACTTTATCTTATTAAGTCCAATCTTCTTCATTATCTGGTATACAGACAAAATGTGTAGCTACTGGCCCTGTTCAGAAGCAAAAACCTCTACCACGATGTCACGAAACAACACAATGCTCATATCTTTCATGCATGCTTCCGCTTCAAGTAACGGTCTTGAACGTAACTGAGCTGCCACAAGATTGCCAAAATGCTCAAATTTATCTAAATATCTAGTATTCTCCAGCTGCTGGGTGCTTTTTCTCAAAAAGTTCACCATCTCTGCCTGAAAATAATACATCAAATACTCTTAAAATCTTTCATTCCATCAAATTCTCAACTCCAACGACACTAATGTTGTTAGCTTTAATCTATTTACAGCGACAAGTGTATCAGCTTAAACAGAATCAGGAATACCCAAATTGATTTCTATATAACATGGACTAAATCTAAGCTAACTGATCTTTTGTCTACCTGTACTTCACTTCTATCTGATCTTTTTCTTTTTGCAAAGGTCCTGATTGAACTTCCATTCCACTTTTCTTTGTGGCACAAAGATGGACTTCCAAGGTCAAGTTGTATAGATTCTGCAGGAAATAAAAAAAGTTCTTTGTTTACTGTAATCAAGTGATCAAAGTACCATTCGATTATGAAAGAAATGAATGGAAAGTTTACATCGAAAACTGTAAAATAAAATAAAACCGGTTCGAACCCCCCTAAAAATAAAGCTCTGTGATATCTCTATGATTTATATAATCTACATTGAATTTATACATTCCAGATTCAAACAAGTCACTATTTTTAACGTGAAAAGTATAAATATATCATGTAATTAATAATTTCAAGTATACAGTGAATGGATATACCTGCACAATACTTCTACAGATTGTGCGCATAATACAAGCATTTCCATCATAAAAAGAGACCCTCTCAACTTATCGTTCTGATACTAGCTACAGAGCTGTTTAGTCCGCTTACCTTCACTAGTATTTTCAGTCAAACTCTCTATTGAGGTATCTTGCTCCATACAGGCTTGAGGCAAGTTATCTACGGTTCTGCAAAGAGTGATACTGATTAAAAAACATAAACTTGAATACATAAATACACTATTATCATTGAATTGAAATTACATTCCCAAACTAGTTTGAAATTTTTGAATGAACAAACAAATCAAGATGCTGCATCACAGAACATCCAGAGGTGCACAGAAGATATTAGTATAAAAAGTGCTATCGTATTTATTGTAGAAAACAATTGATTACATAACTCACTTTCTGTGTTTAATGAAGGGATCTAGAAATGACAATTGGTAATAGTACGGCCATTTTTCCAATTGTGATGCAGCTGACCCACTAGGAATTTTCTCTATTTCTCTATGCTTCTTCCCATACGTTGTTCTCAAACTATTCCATCTAGTTTTGCAATGCTCAACTAAAAAAACGTGAGAATTGGTATGAAGTAATATAGTGACTTGTATGAATGGCATTACGAACAGTGTCTCATAGCTAACAAAATTCCAACATCAAATTATTTGGCATGGATTTTATTTCCAAAAACTCCAATTTTGTTTGCAATTATTGTTCAAAATTTTTTGCCATCTGTTCAAGCATGATTAAAAGCTTAGACAATATGGAATCTATAATCACTACTGAAGTGGAAAAGCAGCAAACCTGAAGCTTCCACATCCATTGCCACGTCTTTCCACAGCTGGTCTGTTTTGATTCTGTTTTTGTAGTCAACATGGTACTGATTGTATAGAGGCTCTCTGCTTGAGATGCTGTCTATTAACCTTGCATTAAAATCCATATTTAGCTCCTAATGCAGTAACAAGTCTACAAGTAACCTGAAAAATTGAACGGCAACATTATTAACAGCATCCAAAAATCATTATTCATGTATTTCTCAATTCCATGAGTACATAAAATCATGACTTTATAAATGGATGAATGAGAACATCAAAAATCACACAAAAATTCAACAAGGTGGGAATATGGGGCTTCGAAAGAAATTACGGCAGATGAAACATTTTTCGTAATAATCACAATATCTTCATAAAAGATTAATAAACAAAAGAACTGTATTACAGCCAATTTACCAAAATACATACAACCTACTGATGGTGCTTTTAACAAAACAGTTTTATTTATTTCAACTAGTAGAATCCATTTTATCAATGATTCCACTGCCATGGTACAGCCCCTACGGACATAAAGAACTGGCACAGTCTATCTCTAAAAAAAGCTGCATTTCGGGAATAATTGTTTGAGCCGAAATGGTGCAAAGGAAACATATTCAAATTTGCTGGCAAGCTATTCCTCCAATTTCCTTCAGTCACTGTTCCAAGTGGGCCCATGCTGTCACCATAAACAGAAGTCTTCCCCTGCGGTTGCTGGAGGTAATTGTGCAGTACACAACAAGATTGTACAATTAATGTGGCCAATTCTGGATCACAGTTTATAGTTTTGAAAAAAACCTGCCAACGAGCAGCTAGAATCCCAAAAGTGTTTTCCACAATCCTCCTAGCCCTGCTCAACCGATAATTGAAAATTTTCTGACTCCTATCCAGTGCACGACCAGGATAAGGCTTCATAATTCCAATTTTCAACGGGAAAGCATCATCTGCAGCAAAATATAATGGGATGGATTCACTAGTGCCAGGCAGAGTCTGTTGGCCAGGAATATTGAGGCTGGATTGATCAAATCCTTTTCCCAATCGTGAGTTTGAAAAAACTCCACCATCACTGTGTCTACCAGAATTACCAATGTCGACAATAACAAACCTATATTGCGCATCACAGACGGCCAAAAGAACAATTGAAAAGTAACCCTTATAATTATAGAATTCACTGCCACTATTTGGAGGGCATTTTATTCGCACATGCTTCCCATCAAGAGCCCCAATGCAATTTGGACACTGCCATCTAAAATTAAATTCCTTCGCTATCTCCAACCATTTTTTGGGACTGGGTGGAGGCATAACTTCATTAACAAGTTCTTTCCACAGAGCAGACATTGTTTCTCTGAGAATTGTCCCAACAGTTGAGTGGCCGATTCGGAATGAAAATGCAAGATCCAACTGAGAAGCACCAGTGGCCAGATATCTGTAAGAAAAAACAATATTCAATCATGCGGTAAAAATACAAATTCATCGGTAAAGCAAATTCATTGTCTCATTGCATATATAAATCCTAATCAACGAAAAGACACAAAATTATTAGAACTCGTCATCAAGCAGTTTGTGCCTGCATATTTGTGCCAAATTTGAAGCAGGTATCAATGGATATCACAGTGAATTAGGTCATATCAACTGAAATATGAATAATTTTGTTGTAATATCCAGTGGAAACAGAAATTATGATACTTGAATTATTAGAACAACTATTCAAATGATACTTCATATTATATAATACTAACCGAATAGTCAATATTAGCCTTCGCTTGGCTGGTATGGCACTTCGCCAAAATGTGTCTTTTTTGCTGATTAGCGATTCAACTTTATTGAGCAAATATTCAAATTGATACTTTTGCAACGAAAATACTGATGGCATTTTTCTTCGTCAGGAGATTCCAAAATTTCTTCTGCTAATAAGAATTCAGACTTATCACTTCCATGTAGAATCAGGTCATGGACCCACATTTCCCTGTTATAGAACATACAAATTTAGTACGACTCCTATAATTGTATTTGTATGCAGATTAAAAATGATGGGTATGCTAGCATGGTATCTGACAACGAAAATACCGTAATTGAGAATTTTAACGATAATCAGTAGTTAATTTTTACTATACTAAAATACCGGTACAGCTTTATAAATCTCAATTGCCGATTTTTTGATTCAAGCTGAATCTCAAAATTGCACAAAACCAGGGTGTTGTGCGAAAGAATGTTTGCATGTCAATATACGGTACCTACCGTACCAGTAAATAGTGAACTAAGTACCGGTACCGGTAATCTCTGCATATCTGTAGTCTAGATACCGGTACCGTACTGTATGGCACCGGTAGGTTCCGGTACCGTACCGGTATGCTACTCACCTGGTAGGCCAAATGTCTTGATACAACGTATACATCACCGTCGTTTTAGAGATGAGTCTTGAGATTTGATTACCAATGGGATCCATTTTCTGTATATTTTCCTTGCTGACCGCTGGTTGGTATAATAAAATTGGGCCTAGCGCAACAATGAAATCGATTCGAAATGGTCCTGTATTAATAGCCTACCGGTACGTTCACAGACTCAGGAATCAGTACGTTAGTTTATCACGTAGGCTAGACTTGCAACTTAGACCAATTATATCAAGAAACCGCACCACACAGACACAGGTTACCACTAAATACTGCAGAAGCTAGCGCATGTTTGCCACGGCAATGCGATAAAGTCAAGCATGCTTCTACTCCGTCGTAGAGCCGTAGCAGCGAGAAAATCAACCGCGCGATTATCTCGATCTGCTGAGTCATGCGCAGAATCGGTGATGTGTGTATCACACCCGGTAGCAGCCGGACGAACTTGCCGTGAGCTGTCGTAGACGAGCCGTAGCCGTGCATGTGTGCATCCCCCTTTAGTCAAGTGAATATACATACCCCCTGCCAATAGGCTTCAGTCTCTTTACACAACTTGATGTAAAGCAGGCTTACAAACTTAGTTACCTCCATATTACACATACCGGTAATTGTTTTATGTTATTCCCAGGGAGAGGAAAGGCACTTTACAAGACTTTCTGATCACATGGCAAACCACCGCCTCTCGTCCCTTCCCAGTTCGTCAGGCATTGGAATAGTCGATTAACCGCTTTAGATGTGCGAACTCAATCATAGAAAATACTGTATGTAATAGACCAGAAATTACCTGAGCCACCCATTGACAATACCAGAGTCTAATTCGAGAGTTTAAAATAAATTATCTGATGTTCGAATTGCATTGTCGAATTTAACACAGACTGTGTGCAAATGCTATCAAGTATTTTAACAAGGAGACAATTTCTCTGAAAGAATCAGTCTTACAAACTAAAACAGTAGATTTTTATTATTTCTCTAAGATAAAACCAGTGCATGGCTATAAAAAAGTTCACAAAATTTGTTTTAAAATACTACAAACATCTAGCAATTGAGCATGAATTGTACAGCTTTGATTATCTATAATTGAATTTATATTATACTCTCAAGAAATACATATCAATAAAAATATTGTAATATAAAAAGGAACAAAAAATTTAGTGGATGAATGGTCAAACACCTAATTCCTGTAAACCGAATATGCACTAATATTCATTTGACCAATTAGGAGAATTGACTAATTCAATGGTTTCGAATAATAGTTGGTGTAGCACAGGGTTCCCCAAATTATGCGTGGGGGTCCGTCATGACGGCACAGGGGGCAACAATATGAAAAGAGTCTGATCAATCAAAAACATTGTCCTTCCTCGTTGGTTAGTCACAGAAAGTAATGGGAGTCCGTCAAAACTAAGATTCACAAATCCGAATTCGTGGCCTCAAAAGTTTGGGAAGCCCAGGTCTAGCACATACTATAAACAACATTTACCAAATTTAAAAACAAAAAGTTATTTCATTGTCGTTGGTGATAAATTAAAAAGTATTATCAGATAGCAGGGTGTTCTGGTTACTCAAAACTAATCTTTTCATTCGATTTATTTTAAATTTGACATTCAAACATCAGCTTTGAAAATTTGATGCAACAGATTACAAATAAATAGTCAGTCGCTCAGCTCTATAACTACAAAACAATATACCATAATCATTGATTTTTGAACTAGAAATTCAATATGTTTTTGGTTTAGTCACATCAGCTACCATTCCATCAATGGCGGCTTTCTTTTGTTCAAGTCTTTGAATCTGTTCTTGGATTTTAGCACAGGATTTATGTTGCTGGAGTAGACGTTGTTGAAAATCTTTGACTGATTTCAACAATGCTTCGTCGTTTCTCATCGACTCCAAACTTTTTCCGAGTAAAGACTCAGACTTTGATTTTATAGATTCCGATGTGCTTGGTTGATCTTGTGGTACTTTGTCAGGTTGAGAAACTAGGGGTTGTGCGGTAACACTTCTTATTGGATCCAGCACCTCTTTCTCTGCTGGCTTTCGAGGTGATGCCTGTGGCATTACACCAATGCCTTGATTTCTTAAATCTGTCACTGGTGCCACATATCTAATATTCAGGGGAACCTTAGGTATAGTATCCCTTTCAGGGACAGACTGTTGTGATTCTGTCGCGATCAACTTTTCCGTTTCGAAATGAGCTTGTGAACTTTCGTCAACAACATATTGGGATTGTGAACTTTTTTCTCTGATAGTTGACATTGATTCAAAATTATCAGGAATGCTTGTATTTCTAATCGAAGACCCTGATGATGTTTCACCATTTGTCGATTTCCTTTGTTGCCGCTGCACTTCAATTTGTTTCAACAAACGATTCAAAGCTCTACCTTGTGATGGACGCTGAGCGGTTTCATCCGGAACTGGCTTCCAACTTGTCGTGTCCTGTGTAGATTCATCACTTTCTTCAAAACAACTCGGAATTTCATCTTCATTCTTTTTTAAATCACGACTGAATAATTCAGACTCTTGAAATCTGAATCCAGGAGGTCCGAAAAGCTCTTGGCAAGCCTGTTTACCACGATTATTGTCTTCCCATTTGTATTCAATGTGGTGTTGTCTCCTCAATGCATCTTTCATTTTCAATTGTTTTAAATCATCTATTAAATCTTTGCTTTCCCGGTCAAGTCTTGCTTGCTCCAATGCAGCCTAGAATACAAATAGAACACTTTAGTATTGAGAAGCTTTGTAAATGATACACAGGTAGTGTAGCACATAAGAGGAATAAAGTATTCAAAAAGCTGGCAAGGAGTATTCAGAGATAATTGATCATTTGAAGAAAAGACAAAAAAAAACAGTGAAATTTTACTAGTTTGTTTTGATTGATTTATCACTCTGAAATTGAGAAATTTCCTTGAATCTCAGGACTGGTGTTGATCGTTTTGAGCACAAAATAAAAATCTAATTCGTCCCAAGGGGCTGAGTGTGCTAATTAGCACATATTCATTACAACTACAAATTGATATCACCATTTTTCTAGAAAAGTTGATAATTGATACCATGACTCAAAAAATCCTCCCATTACTTGACTAATAATAATCAAATACTGATAATAATATAGTATAATACTACCATAAATATAAAAGACTATATCAAATGAAACCTGGGTAAATAACATAGATCCAACTATCAAAAACAAAAGACAAGGCAAACTAACCTGATGTCTGACTTTAGCTTTTTCCATGCATTCCTGCACAGCACGATCTCTTTCAGCTTGTAAAAGGTTGATCCTTTCCCCTTCTATCTCCGCCTCTTGTCTTGCGTCTGTAGCCGCTTCTGCAGCCGTCGCACGCTCGACAATTGCATTAGAAGGAAGCCCGAGAGATATGGTAGTCGTCATAGTTGACTCGTGGTCCGAGACTTGAATTGTAGCGTAGCGTCCAGGATGATGTGGGATTGAACCACTGGACCATGTATTTGAATTAGTTGTTCCTGTGTTATCTAGATAGGTATCAGCTGGATTAGGCATTGGTTGGGGAAGATTCGCTACATGTTTCGCTCGAAGTTTTTCTTTAATTAATGCAATATGGCGTCGCCGACGTTTTTCAATTGTTTCCTCTTCTTGCATCTGCTTTATTTCTCTTTGGTGTTCCAAAGCTTGTATTCCACGGTTTTCAGCAAGTTTACGATTCTCTTGTGTCACCGCATCAGTAAGAGCCTGATTTGGTGAATTTTCTTTTGCACTTTCATGAGCAGAACCAACATCCTTCAGACAAGACGTGAATTTTTCTTCTGATTTTTCCAAAGCAACTTTATGATCCTGTTGCCATTTTTTATGTAAAATATTCGCAATGTTGTTCATTTCTTTCTCGTGTTTTTCTTGCATTGATCTGCGGATTCGAATCGCCGCCATTTTTTCTTGTTCTCGTACTTGTAAGATTCTTAATTGTCTTCTTCTTTGGATTTCATCCTGCATCATGCGTGATGTCTCGTTAGGACTAGGACGCAAAACTGTGTTCATTGTTTTAGTTGTCTCCACAATTGTGAGTATCAAAAATAAGTCTGCTTAAATGACACAATGATAAATAAATCTGAAATTGCACAATTATAATTACCATTATATTAAGAAGAAAGGTAGAAAAGATGAAAGAGAGTCCTGGTTTCAATTGCCCATGATAAATGCAATTTGGTTATATAGTACATTGTCGTTCAGTCTATGTTAACAATGATTCTGCCTCATTTCAGTACGAAGATCAAAAAAATGTGCCGTTGTCTTTTTTTCTGATAGTTAATTAAACTATTCCTGTCTCTATAAATTTTTGATTTTCAGTTTATAAAAAGTATGAATTGGCAGAAAAAACATGCCTTAATAGCAAACAATAAGATTTCAAAACAACATATATCATAAAGAAATTAAAAAATAAAATCTATGTCTACTTAAATCAGGGGTCGGCAACCTTTTGTCGCTCGTGGGCCAAAATTAAAAGTTGCAAGTCATTGATGGGCCGCACATATTTTTAGAAAGTTAAAAACTGAACGGATGACTGATGAATCACATTTTTTTACACAGATGACTGAAGACTGACCATAAGAATATTTTTGCGCCATTAAACCATTTGCACTTAGCACCAACTTTTCGGCGCTTTGTTGCCATTTGTCTAAATTATAATTAAATTATAGGCTCATTAAACGAGTAATTGTGACCTATATACTTGTAACGTTATAATATAATTTAGGCTACACATAAATTCTTTTGCGTAAAGAATTATAATCGACAAAACAGCTGTTTTGTTGCTATAATCCAGTGAAGCGTCGCTGGCCGGTTTATATTGGCATAAGTTGCTGACCCATGACTTAAATCATGCTTAATAAAATTAAAATTCCGTTAAGCAGTTTTTTGAATTTGATGCATTGAAATTTCAACAAACAATGTAATTGCAATGTAAAACAATTGAATGCTATCTTCCCTTAGTTAACTTTTTATCAAAATCTAGCCAGAAATCTTCTGAAATAGGCAACAAACATTGAAAACATTGTTCAAAATCCTTGAAACAAACTTCAATAAAAGGCTGATTAGTTTGACCATCACTATAATGAGACTTTATATCAGTAGCAACAGCTACACAGTGATTAGTATCAATCATACTCTCTTCAAAAAACCAATCATTTGTCCGAATTCCATCAATGTCTAATTTTGTTTTAGTGTGAAATTGCCCTGGTTTAATTTCCGAGTTCGAATCAACTTCGAAACTTAATTTTTGCAATGAATAACCGATTCCTTTACCAACCGCCTTAACAAAACTTTCTTTCAAACACCAGTGCCGATAAAACATTTTCATTTTGGTATCGTCATCAACCTGTTGCTTGATGCAACCCCATTCTCTCTCTGTAAAGTTACGAGTCATCAAATCGAAAAATTTTGAAGTGTCACCATGTCTTTCTGTTACATTCATAACATCAACGCCAACTTGTGGAGTCATATCTGTTACAGCAACAACAAAATCACCATTGTGCGAAATATTAAATCCGATTTCTGCAAGTTTCGTATTAAAATTTTGTTCAGAATTTTTTAAATCCACAATTGGTTTCCCTTTATCAGTTCTTATTAGTTTTATCTTTTCCCATGGAATGTTCATAGATTTTGAGATTGAATATCGTAAAAGTAGTCGTCCAATTAAACCAGCCTTGCTATCTTCTTTGAAAACAAACTCATTTATTCGTTTTCTTTCTTCATCTTGAATACATTCCCCACCTCGAAGCCATTGGTATTGATTTGGCTGCCAGTGTTTCAAATTGAAATAATATCGAACCATTTGCGACGATATTTTCATGAGTACTTTATGTCACCGTTAATAGAAATGACAATATTTAGTTTATAGACTAATTAAATCAAGGTGTTAAAATTTTGTAGTTTCGTACCTAACGTACTTCTAGTGGTAGCCTAACAATTTTTTCATGTGTCAATCTTAACCCCCACCTGACTACGATGTCACAATCACGTCATAGAACTTGCCAAAGTATACCTACGATCGCCGATGATAAAAAATAAAAAACTCATCAATGGCAGCGATTTTGAATGACGCAGTCAGGTGGGGGTTGGGATTAACATATGCGAAAATTGTTATTCTACGCCTACGGTACTAGACCTTCTTCAGGCAGTCAGGTATAAATTACACTAGACCCGAATATTGTTCTGTATACTGCAATTCATTCAGTCATTTGAACATTTATTTATTTATAAAAAACATACCTAATAACATAGTTATAAAATATTTAATGAGTAGTAAAATTAGTGAAGTGCTGAAATATATGGTTGAAATCAATCTTTTAAACATGGCACTGTAGGGTAACAATGCTCCTAAAACTGTAAAAACCTACCGGTACCGGTAGTTAAATCAGCAAACCGGTACCTTGTTCGGCACTTCTATATGATTTTCTAGCTAGGGTACCAGTGCAACAGTAGACACATTCTCCACAATTTATATCATACTTGACAAACTATTCCCACAGACGTAACAAAAGTAGATCTACAGAGAAAATATATCAAATCAAGTCGCCGAACTGGCAATATTACGGCACAAATCAAAATCTATTTGTTTTGAACCGCCGCGCTGGAGGTGCTCGCCTATGAATATCCGGACACTCCAACAATTCATTTTTCAAAGATTCGCCATCGGCGAAAATATGTATATACTTTCATAAAGTCTATTATAATTTTTTAAAATAAAATAAATAGCATTTGCTATTATTTGGAAACTATAATTTATTAAAATAAATTAGTTTTAAACTGAACTATATCCAGATTGAGCAAATAAAAAACTCTGTGCACTACACCAACTCTCTTGCGCAAGCTACCGGATATATTTTCCTTGTAAAACGTACTTTTTATAATACTGCTATCGTGATTCTGTTATTTAACAATAAATTTAACTTAATATGTATTTGTAAATTTGGTCAGTGTCTCGCATTTTTTCTCATTTGATTGTATGTGCAAGTATACAATACCCGGTATACAATGCGGTACGTTTCTCGTAGGCAGAAAAAAGTATTAAAGTGAACATTTCTACATTTGCTGAAAGGTGGACATCATGGTTTTACATTCAATTAGAAACGAAAAGATTTTAACAGTATTATTTCGTTAAAACCGTACAAAACCACCACTGGGAAAAATCGAATACCAGTATGCAATTTTGTAAAATAAATTACCTTCTGTTTTCGATGACATTATCAAGGCAACGGCATCGATAATCGCATATTTCTTTATATCACTTTGCCAAAATCGCTGAATCCGAATTTTTGACGGAAATACCCCTTTTTCGACTTGAAGTATTCAAAAGTGTTTTCCTTTCTGTCGATTTAAACACTTGTTTGTTATTCACTCATTGTGACAATAACAGAGAAAGTGATATTTTTTCTGCTACCACATAGGTTGAGTTTGACTCCCATAGTACCACAATGCGAAAGGAACTCATCAACGGCAATCTGCGACCTCCGCATAAAAAGAGCAATGGCTGCGATAAGATGTTATTCGTTACAATGTATATGTGTTTTAGGTATCTTCTTCAATTTTGGCTATTGCATTCATCAAGCTTGATAAGTCCTTTTCTCATTTTAAAAACACATATTCAATAGAAAAACCTGAACAGAGTTCTTGTGAAACAAATGAATTGAAAAGAAGCATCCCTGTTATTTCGTGATAGATTTATTTATCATTCTCATAAATAAATATAGTAAATTTTACGCACCGTGGAAAATTGAACAGTACTAAGGCATACTATAAAAATTATATTACAAAAATTACATTTATTATTTGCTTATTATTTTCACTGCATCATTATAAAAAAAAAATAGGTCTGCCTTTATACTACATATTTTTGCTTCTTGTATTGGCAAGTCCTTGCTCCCTAAGCAAACTACTGATTAACTATTCCTACAACCGACATGGACTGGTAACTAGACAATGTCATCTGGTTTGCCATGTAATTAAGTCGCATTATGAACTCACCGTTTCTCGGGATAAAAATGCCCTATTATCCGCTTTTTTACTATACCTACTATGAATATCATATCTATGATTATTAGTCTCAAATCAAAGATGAAGAAAGCTTAATAAAATTTGGCAGTGTTGGTAGATGGAAAGCATTCTCAACATTGGGCACGACTGCTGTACCCAACTAAGAGGAGGACATATGCAATCTTGCTAATTACTAAATCTACTATGGCTGTTCAATAAATGTTTAACAATATATAGTGACTATTTTGTATCACCTTTGCTCACATTTTTTTATAATTTTGACAAAGAGATTAAAAGCTTGCTTTGACCAAACCATGAATAATATTCATAAACTATGTGCCAACCTCCCCCGAGGAGGAAAAAAGATGTCACAAGAAAAGAAAAGATTGGTTCAATCACCAATCTCGTATTTCATGGATGTAAAGTGCCCAGGTTGCTATAAGATTACGACGGTATTCAGTCACGCTTAAACAGGGGTGCTGTGCGTCGGATGCTCAACTGTTTTATGCCAACCAACTGGTGGAAGGGCGAGGCTTACAGAAGGTTGCTCCTTCCGAAGGAAACAACACTAGAGTTTTCGTCAAAAATCAGTAGTTTATTTTCTCATACGAAAAAGCACACTTGATGTACAAATTGCAATAAATAAACGAAAAGCATTTCAGGGTGAGGGGAGCCGCGAGAAACCAAATTTGGTTATTGAGCAGAGGCACCCATAATGGAGTAGGGTGAAACGTATATTTGAACTGATTTTGTGAGGCGAGTTCAATTTGGCCTATTCGCATTCAAAAGGAAATAATAATCACACAGTTTTAAAGACACCTTTTTGATTTGAGCTTCATAAAAATAGCACAAAATCCCACTGCATAAAAAGATATCACTAAAATAAGGATAATTGTAGTAAATACATAAAAGATATGGCTATCAACATATTCAAGTATAACAATGTTTGAAACAAAAGTTGGCTTTTTTGAAGGAAGTTGGCAATGGCGTAAAATTGTAACTATTGATCATGTTGCATAGAAAGTTGTAGGATGATCTCAGTGAAAATGTGTGTTAATTTTTCTTCCCTGTGAAACATTTAAAAGATATTTTCAGTAAAGAATGAAATCAAATTACTTTTTATAAAAAGAGGAAATTGATGACTTTTTACAACCACACACGCTGTTAATCCATAATTAGAAGTCGCTATTCGATTAAAAAGCAATACTGTTAATAGTGCTAAAACTTCGAGTCTGTATTTTTACTTTTGATTGTCATACCTGGTTTAAGATAAAATTGAAACTCAGATCTATTAAAATTATTCAAAAATAACCCTAGAAGGAAGATTACTAAGCAAACCAAAGATTTCCAATGCTATACAGTTTCAGTAGTTCTTGGCACTAGTGGTTTCCCACTCCAAACAAGGTAGCCATCGAACCATTAGCTACTGTTTTTTTGTAACTGTATTAAACAGACTTACTTTTCAAAGATGACTGATACATGGCAGCACGTTCTTTCACAGACAATCGTTTTTTCGCTATTACCTCTGCAACTTCTGCTGAATGACCAGCATCAGCGTTTGATTCTACAAAATTCAATCAAATTGGAGAGCTTTAAATACCAAGAGGCAGTATGAACTGAATAGCATGTACTTCTCGCCTTATGAAACATGAAAACCAGTTGTCAAGCACCAAACCCCGAAACCACTTTCAAAATAAGCGTAAACGCCTTATGAAACATGAAAACCAGTTGTCAAGCACCAAACCCCGAAACCACTTTCAAAATAAGCGTAAAAAATTCAGCACAAATTTCATTACATAATAACCAGTGACGTTATTTAGGCTTTATGTAGGTCCAAACAATTGGCACTATGAGCTACATGAGGAGTTTCATAAGTATCACCACTTTTCATAAATAATTTGAATATATTAATATAAAAATACAAACAAATAATACCATATGAAGAAGATTCAAATATAGAAGTGCTGTCCTTAACAGATTTCTGTCTTGTTGATATCAATTTGGAAGCTTCTTCGCTGTGAACGACTGTAAATTGTAGAAATTTAGTACATCAATTTTATAAATTTTGAAACAAAAAATCGGTGAAACAAAAGCTGATTAAAAGGGACAGTCCGCCCAACAAATGGTTTAAAACTCTATCATTGTTTCGTATTTCTGCTCTATATTGCATGGTTGAAATATGAGTGAATAACTCAAGGATGAAACAGGAATTCTTATACATATTTACATGCTTTCTTGGGCTGTCATATGTGCAGTAGGTTTGCTGCAAAGCAACTAAACCAGTTGTGCACTGCCGATATAGTTTATACAATAGTGTTGCAATGTATTAACATGACCATTCAGATTTACGAGGTTTCCAACTACGATAATAATGATGAGTATTGAAAAGAAAAAGGCTAAACTTTCTGCCGCATTACTTTCTTTTGGCAAATATTGAGGTTCAGTTCTTGAAATTCTTGTTGAAAAATTTCTTTTGAGGGGTTCAGGTAATGTTGAAGGTGTCTGCTTCATAGATTCAGTTTTTTTGACTGTACCTGGATGTCTCCGACCTTAAGAAATCAATAGGATTTATTCTTAGCATGAAGAAACGGCTGGCAGGTTGATTCTGATCAATTGTGTTATCCCCATACCAAGGAGTATCTTTACAAGAAAGATCTCAGATAGAAGCATCCTATGTATTAGTAGCATGTTGTCTAAGGCCTAAGTCTTATCTTAGGTTTTGATAGATGTAATTACCCCATAAAAAAGACTTGAAATGTTTTTGATGAATGTTGCAACACTACCACTACAATTTTGAATTGGGCACAATCATCACATCCAATGACAATTACTGTGTTCCTCACAATCAGTGGTTCACATGACTGCTGGATAGAGGCGTAGCCAGCGTATTTTGCGCCCGGGGCAAAATATAAAATTGGCGCCCCGACCCCCACGTTCAATCATGTTTTCTATTGCATTTAATTGTATATGTAAAAACAAATTATATATCGTCACGCTAATAACCGAATTGCGTAAGTCATTTTTAGCTGTTTTGAGAAAAACGTAAAAAAACTTCCTAATGATATTTCTATGCCATTGAGATTCATTAATTTGCCATAGTTCAACTTTTTGTTCGTAGCCGGATTTAAGTTAATTTGTATGACGCAGTCATGTGACGTCATAATGGCGCAATGTGACTTAGGCAAAAATGTGTCTATTACTAGGGGACATACGCAATTTTGCAACTTGACTATATGTACCAGTCCTGAAAACCAAACAATCCAAAATCCCTAATCTGTTTCAAATACATCATTTTTTATGTTTAAAAATATATATTTCATCAATATAACACGCTCTGCACATCCACCGAAATAAGACTAAAGTTAAATATAAAGAATAAAACAGTAATGTACCCCTATATAAAAGTCAACCAAGGTGAATTGGACTCACAAGTGCACGCCTCCTATACAGTAGTATAAATTGAAAATTATTAGCGCTAAGCTAGAATCTGAGATGCAAAAACTAGAAAATCCTTCGCCGAGGTTATTTTGCCCTTTGCAAAGCTATACAAAATAGAGCATATGTCCCCCTCAGTTACTGTCAAAGATGATTTACATAGTCTACAATAAATTCATTTTTTCAATTTCACTTTCGTAAACTGGTTAATACGTCGTCAAAATCTGTTTTTTTCCAATGTTTCTCTTTCAACACTTAGAAGTGCAAAATCACTGAGACGATCCTGTCCCGTTGATGCACGCGAATACGACAAAATAAGTTTCAATTTGCTGAAAGACCGTTCACAGCTTGCAATTGAAACTGGTATTGTTAACAAAATTTGTAGAGAAATTCGCAGATTGGGTAAAACGTTGTCTCCAAAAGACACAATGAAAACAAAAAGGGCCAAAGGAGTTTCTGGTTGACCTACAGTTCTGCTACTGAGCAGCATTCTGCAATCTCCAATTTCGGTGAAAAGTTCGTGGCCATTGATGTCCGTGTCGTAGAAATTTGCAAAATCTGTGCAATCTCGACGAATTGTCGAAAACGGCATTGGGGTCTTTTAGCACAGTATAATATATTTTATGTAACTCTGCCGCAAAGTACGGTACTTTGACAACAGCGAAATACAAAACCACGTATTACTCAAAACATGTTTCCGTTTGTCTCCAGCACAGAACTAATATCAACTTACATCGGAGTGCGCAGGCAAGAACTTAACGATACAGAACCACGTCATTAACCCGGTGCATTTTGTTACCTAATGTTACCAAATCAAATTTTGCTTTGTTTCCCAGCAAGATTTTTTGGCCATGTAATTACGATGGAAATCTGACCGTGCTATGTGCGTGATGATGTCGGCAGTCGTAAGTGGTCTGACCAAGTGTGCAGTTTGCCATGTACTAAGACTAGATGTCTGCCGCCGGTGCGATCTTGCTTGTGACTGTATTTTACCCTTGTGAAATTTTTGCAAGCCCCATTTTGGCGCCCCTGTACCTTGGCGCCCAGGGGCATATGTACCCCACTGCCCCCTCCTAAGCTACACCTCTGCTGCTGGACATCAATGAATTTTTTCACCCCCCAAAAGCATATATTCCATCTGTAATCACACTTTACAACTGACCATTTTTCATTTCTTGCTCCAATATTGAGGCAACTTTTCCACTTCCATCATGTATGGTATCATTTTGAATATTGGATGACTTTCTTGGTAGCGTTGCAGCTTTTCTCTGCACTTGAGAAGCTTCCGTTATTTGATAACAATTTTCTTTGGGTTTGTTAGTTTTTGGTGTTGCCACTTTCTCATCAGGTATAGTTTCAGGAGGTTGTGAAGCATTCCTAGGAAGCGTTGTTTCTTCATATTTATGCGAAACAGTCCTGTTCAAAACACTATCGAGATTTTTATTTTGTTTTTCTGGAACCATTTTTGTATCGTTAATGATTTCGCCATCTTCACCCAAAAATGGAAGTATGTTGTAATTTGCATCTCTGTTGGTAACTTTAGACAGTGTTTTATTTCTTTTTATACTTGCTGATTTCACTACAATTTTGCTTATTACAAGTGCTACAGTTTCATCTGATTCTTCTTCTTTCCTAATATTAGTATTTATTTTTTCATGCCCAAGTACTGTTTTTGCATTGTCACCGTTCAAGGGTAGTTTTGTAGGGAGCAATGGGGTAAGTTCAAGGTAACTTCGATCATCAGAAAGATTTTCTTGCACATTCATTCGTTGAATTCTTTGATGGGAATTAATGAAAGTCCCATTATCTTTCGGTGTTATATTTTCGTCAACTTCTTCTGCAACACAAAAGTAAAATATCAGTAACAGACTTTCTGTTGTCCATAATAAATTATAAGGGTGGAACAGGCAACAGGCAACAACTACTGGGTACAAAATGGAAATGAAAAATAAATAGCGCACAATTTTTTGCTATTGTCAGTCAGAGTCTTAACTTTTGGCAACAAAAGAGATCTCCACCCTCCTTTATACAATACTGCCCATATATCTCCTATTCAGAAAATGTAGTGAAATATCTTTAAATTGATGATGTGGTTAATTATTCCCCACAAAAAATTTTGTATGATGTGCAACCCGCGAAATGAGTTTTTAATTGAGTTTGATCTGGTATGTGCGAGTGATTCCAATCCCCTTGCAACTGCGTCGCAAAGTCTATGAGTCCAACTTATTATCTATGCCCATGACGCCTTGTGCGGAGCGAACAACACATGTCATAAGATCAATAACAAAAATTCTTGTGCCTGCAACTACTAGAAAGCCGATGTAGAAAATAGATGCGGCTCGTAGTTTCACCCAGTTATTTGCCCTCTTGTAATAAAAGTTGCACGCCCCTGAATTGGTTTATTGAGTGAGCTGCTGGTTATCCATTAATTTATGATATAAAAATACCGTTCAAATGGTTACAACAACAAGTAAATACCAACAAACTTTTGTCATATAATTGAACTCACCACCAGACTTCTTGTCTTGAAAATACGAAGCACCATCATTGCTATCTGTTGTAGTCAATAAGTTGGTGTTTTCAGTGGGTCTATATCTGGAATTTGCTTTTGCATGAGTTGATTGTAGCTCAGGAGGACAGCTTTGCCTCTGTTCAGTGATCTGCAAACAATTGTAAATGTATTCAAGACTTGCCATAGGATAGGATTTACCTATTTATCTTGTGGCAGCGGAAAGCTGTAAGACAGCGAGTTATTTGTTTCAGATGCATGAACTTGATGATAGAGGAAGCCGTAACCGACCAGCAGTTAGGTGAACCACCCTACTGCGGCGAAGATTCAAGCAATCCTCTTGCACATAATTATCCCCACATGATGTAAACCAACACACGATAATCGATAATCAAATATTGAAAATCGAAACATAAAGGTTTACATATTCAAGGTCGGATATAAAGTACACATTTGTGACACTAGCGTTATTTGATAATGGTGGACATGCCCTCAGAAGATAAACAATTATATAGTTATTGAATTTTCCACTCCCGATACCTCTACTGACAATTAACTTCATTCTGAAAATAAAATTGATTTATGGACCTAAATCACTCAAAATAATAATTTTCTCCTTAGCAGAGTTTAAAAGGTACCGGTATGTGTTGAATTACCTTTTGCTCGACCTCGTTATTTTGACTGGTTGAATTATTTTGTTTTGTTCTGCCTTGAACCTCTTCCTCATTTGGAGTTTTTTTTTGAAAGATTGTTGAGGGGCAGGTGGCTTCATGTTCGAGAGATTTGTCTTTTATAGGTTCTTGTATGACAATTTCCTGGTGTTTATAACCATCTTGAACATCATTGTCTTCCAGTATTGTTTTAGTTGAAATTTTATCTGCAAAAATTTTAAAAAGAATTTCAGATGTTTATCCTTAAGGGCAGGAAAGCTGATATGATAGTTTAATCATATGGCAAACCACAGCCTCTCATACTATTGCCAGTTCCTGTCAGATATGGGAATAGTTCATTGTTTCATATTTTTTTAGTTGGACGGTGAAGGAAGTCGTAAATGACCAGTGCTAACGTCAATTTCATCACATATAACTATCTACCACAGTATTCCAATGAACCCCCACAAGAGAACAGAGGTGAACTAGCAAGCATATTCTGAACGTTCAGCACTGCTAACCAGCCATCACAGATTAGTTACAAATTCCCTATTATGTATCTAAAATTGAGTAGGTGGTATTATTTTATAATTTATTTTACCAGCACAAATAAAATGAAAAACAATGAATGCTTGAGCAAATATAATATCTTTCTGTTGAGCTTTCCAACATTACATAGTTTACTGAACATCCAGCAGTAAGTAAATCCTGGAATTTGACCTGTCCATATTTACATAGGTAATATTTATATATTTCACTAGCTATGTCAAAGTCAGATAGTCAGAATATGACTTATGGAAAGCTAAACATCCATTTAATTCATTCCACTAATAATTTCACAAATAGGTTTGGATCATTTTAAAACTGATGGAAGATGACTAGATCCAAAAATAAAACAGTTCGAATGTACATACCGTACTCACAGTAACTATTCAAGTTACTAGACTAACCACATTTGAACCACACTTGGCATTCGAAAAATACTAAATTGGAAAATTACCATCCATTGAGGATTCTTTGCCCTGAGAATGTTTATAAGCATGTATTCCTGTATTGTCATGCTTTATATAAATTGCTGTTGGCTGTAAATCGGCATCATTGCTTTGTTCTGTGCAAGCCAAATTCCCTTCATCAAAAGATAAATTACTTTTATGCGGATATGAAGGAACATTTTTCTTTTGTTGTGTGTTGACTGGTGTTTCATTGCCTGTTATCAGAAAGTCACTATTACCCCTTAATTGAAATACTAATTTAACACTCAGCAACCTTTTTTCCATTCACCCATAGTCTGGTACACCCCCACCCAAAAACTAATAATTATGTACAAGAGGATTGCTACACTCCTTGGCCTAGTGAGACAGTTAACACAACCATTGTCAAATCTAATAATTGGTCAGGGATTCTTATACTCGGCATAGACTGGTAACAGAACGAGAGGCTGTGGTTCACCATATTAGTTATATCTTTAGCCGACTTATTTATAGTCATTAAAAATCAAAATAGTCATTTAATTTTAATATAATCAAAAACTAAATATCCAAAAGTTATTACCATTCGCACTTTTGTCATCTTTCGACTGTGTTGAAATATGTGTCCCAGACTTGTTAATTTTCACGGAGTCTTGTTTGGTACATTTTGTGACTGTTTTAATTTTCGGCTCAGATTGAGTGGGGATATTTTGTTGTCTTTGTTCTGGTGACTGAAAAAATTATAATTCCTTGTATAAGTTGTTAATAAACATGGCAAGAGATGCATTATGACATGCTTACACCACTCATTACCCTTAACGGTTTTACGAGTTTGAATCCTGTGGGCGATTGTGTGAAAAGTGAGGGTTGCCTGGACTGGGAAATTCTTTTTTTTTTTGTTGATAAAATAAATATTAAAAAGAACTGTTACCAAAATTTTGCATACCTAAACTAATATAAAATCTTAAATATACATTGAGTTGATACAACATTAATTTCTTAAATTTTCAATGATTGCCTATTTTCCGTAGCAAGCTCTGATTTTAAAAGAAATTTTGGTTGACTTTATTGTTTGCATGTATATCAGAAATTTAAACCTATTTACCCAGTTTCGAATGATTCCAAAGCTTGTATATATATAAAGAATTAATACTTTTATTAATACTAGATCAATTAATACAAGATTTATCAGCGGCAGTAACAGACCAATTCAGAGCTGTATTTGAAACTTGGTATAAGCTTGATAGCATCAATCAATCAATTATTGCATATTTTAATGTTGGTTTAAATATCGCTACAACTGTAAAGTACACATTTGTGATACTAGCGTTATTTGATAATGGTGGACATGCCCTCAGAAGATAACCAATTATATAGTTATAGAATTTTCCACTCCTAATACCTCTACTGACAATAACTTCATTCTGAAAATAAAATTGATTTATGGACATAAATGACTCAAAATAATAATTTTCTCTTTAGCAGAGTTTAAAAGGTACCGGTATGTGTTGAATTACCTTTTGCTCGACCTCGTTATTTTGACTGGTTGAATTATTTTGTTTTGTTCTGCCTTGAACGTCTTCCTCATTTGGAGTTTTTTTTTGAAAGATTGTTGAGGGGCAGGTGGCTTCATGTTTAAGAGATTTGTCTTTTATAGGTTCTTGTATGACAATTTCCTGGTGTTTATAACCATCTTGAACATCATTGTCTTCCAGTATTGTTTTAGTTGAAATTTTATCTGCAAAAATTTTAAGAAAGAATTTCAGATGTTTATCCTAAAGGGCAGGAAAGCTGATATGATAGTTTAATCATATGGCAAACCACAGCCTCTCATACTATTGCCACTCCCTGTCAGATATGGGAATAGTTCATTGTTTCATATTTTTTTAGTTGGATGGTGAAGGAAGTCGTAAATGACCAGTGCTAACGTCAATTTCATCGCATATAACTATCTACCACAGTATTCCAATGAACCCCCACAAGGGATCAGAGGTGAACTAGCAAGCATATTCTGAACGTTCAGCACTGCTAACCAGCCATCACAGATTAGTTACAAATTCCCTATTATGTATCTAAAATTGAGTAGGTGGTATTATTTTATAATTTATTTTACCAACACAAATAAAATGAAAAACAATGAATGCTTGAGCAAATATAATATCTTTCTGTTGAGCTTTCCAACATCACATAGTTTACTGAACATCCAGCAGTAAGTAAATCCTGGAATTTGACCTGTCCATATTTACATAGGTAATATTTATATATTTCACTAGCTATGTCAAAGTCAGATAGTCAGAATATGACTTATGGAAAGCTAAACATCCATTTAATTCATTCCACTAATAATTTCACAAATAGGTTTGGATCATTTTAAAACTGATGGAAGATGACTAGATCCAAAAATAAAACAGTTCGAATGTACATACCGTACTCACAGTAACTATTCAAGTTACTAGACTAACCACATTTGAACCACACTTGGCATTCGAAAAATACTAAATTGGAAAATTACCATCCATTGAGGATTCTTTGCCCTGAGAATGTTTATAAGCATGTATTCCTGTATTGTCATGCTTTATATAAATTGCTGTTGGCTGTAAATCGGCATCATTGCTTTGTTCTGTGCAAGCCAAATTCCCTTCATCATAAGATAAATTACTTTTATGCGGAGCTGAAGGAACATTTTTCTTTTGTTGTGTGTTGACTGGTGTTTCGTTGCCTGTTATCAGAAAGTCACTATTACCCCTTAATTGAAATACTAATTTAGCACTCAGCAACCTTTTTTCCATTCACCCATAGTCTGGTACACCCCCACCCAAAAACTAATAATTATGTAAAAGAGGATTGCTACACTCCTTGGCCTAGTGAGACAGTTAGCACAACCATTGTCAAATCTAATAATTGGTCAGGGATTCTTATACTCGGCATAGACTGGTAACAGAACGAGAGGCTGTGGTTCACCCTATTAGTTATATCTTTAGCCGACTTATTTATAGTCAATATAAATCAAAATAGTCATTTAATTTTAATATAATCAAATACTAAATATCCAAAAGTTATTACCATTCGCACTTTTGTCATCTTCCGACTGTGTTGAAATATGTGTCCCAGACTTGTTAATTTTCACGGAGTCTTGTTTGGTACATTTTGTTACTGTTTTAATTTTCGGCTCAGATTGAGTGGGGATATTTTGTTGTCTTTGTTCTGGTGACTGAAAAAATTATAATTCCTTGTATAAGTTGTTAATAAACATGGCAAGAGATGCATTATGTCATGCTTACACCACTCATTACCCTTAACGGTTTTACGAGTTTGAATCCTGTGGGCGATTGTGTGAAAAGTGAGGGTTGCCTGGACTGGGAAATTTTTTTTTTTTTTTTTGATAAAATAAATAATAAAATGAACTGTTACCAAAATTTTGCATACCTAAACTAATATAAAACATATATATACATTAAGTTGATACAACATTAATTTCTCAAATTCTCAGTGATTGCTTATTTTCCGTAGCAAGCTCTGATTTTAAAAGAAATTTTGGCTGACTTTATTGTTTGCATGTATATCAGAAATTTAAACCTATTTACCCAGTTTCGAATGATTCCAAAGCTCGTATATATATAAAGAATTAATACTTTTATTAATACAAGATCAATTAATACAAGATTTATCAGCGGCAGTAACAGACCAATTCAGAGCTGTATTTGAAACTTGGTATAAGCTTGATAGCATCAATCAATCAATCATTGCATATTTTAATGTTGGTTTAAATATCGCTACAACTGTAGTGTGTGTACCAGGTTAGGGTTAGGCCATAATTCTATTCCAATTTTCCTTATTTTATTTCTACGACGAGTTCGGGACTGCCTAGTTAGCCAAGTGAATATACCCCCTGCCCATAAGTTTCAGTCCATTCACACAACTTGATGTAAAATAGGCGAACAAAATTAGTTACCTCCATATTGGTACACACACTTCTGGAGCGCCAAAATATCTCTAAAGACAATACTATTACCTCATTCAAACCAGGTAGTTCTGGTAGTAACCTCTCATCCTGTTCGGAATATTCAATCTGTGGATACTCAGTGTTTCTAATTGGTCCTTGAGCAAAAATATAATGTATTGTACACTACATAACAATAATATTTTGAACATGTCCAAATATGAAAAATTGGATTCAATAGAATATCTCGTGGCATGGCATTCGGCATCACAAACTGAGCCAACTCACAATTTACCATATACTATCGTACTTCATATAAAATATGATTTACATATTTATCCTGGGGATGGGAAAGTCAATAGGATGTGTGGTGTGCCACACCGCCAAGAGGGTATACAATTATTATAACATGTTGTATACTTGTATTACAGATAGGTAAGGGTTTTCAAACATTACATTAATCAACTTTCTTTTTTATTTAAATTGGATATTTAATTATACACAAATATATGTGTTATTTCAATATAATTTATTCCTCTTTGAAAATTATATCCAAATATCTCAAGTGATCAAATCTTAATCTTACTTGGCATAAAGGTAGAACTTCCAGTTGCGGTCATCCGTGCATTATCATAAGCAACATTTTGTGCTCTAACATCATGGATGTCACCTGTAAAAAATCGAACATATATTATTTATGGCTTTATGGTTGTTTAGCATGTCGGCCCATTCAAGTTGACATCCTATGTTAGGGATGCTCTGGGTCTTATAGGTCTTGCCAAGGCTTTGACATTTACATTTGAGCATTTTTTATTCATCTTGAGCGAGTTTTTTACTCTTGTAACTTGTTATCAGCAAATATTTAAAAAAAACATAATCAGAAATTTGGGTGCTCCAGAAGTATGTGTACCAACATGGTGGTAACTATTTTTTTCGCCTAATTTACATCAAGTTTTGTAAATGGACGGGAGTTTATGGGCAGGGGGTATATTCACTTGGCCAACACAGACAGTCCCCGAACTCGTAATAGAATTAAAATAAGGAATATTGGAATAAAATTATGTCCTAACCCTAACCTAGTAGACATACTACGGGAGTACTAAAATTTGGTATTTCTGGTAATGTTGGTAAACGCCTGGGAGGAAATTTTCTTTGAACCTAAAGTTACAGTCCTAATTTTATTAATTGCAAATCAGAGTCTGTTTTTTTGATATCCTGGAGCTCAATAGGCTTATTATTAAACTCCAGAGAATTGCTCGTCACAGGTCTGTTATCTAGTCCTGTAGTTATTTTCATAAAAAAATCAAAAAAATTTATTTACCTCGGGCAACATATTGTTGTATATTTACAGTAATTGACTGATTTCCGCCTCTGACATGCTTCAAACTTGGATCAATTTTCTCCAAGTCCAAATTCTCTAAGCCTGCAAGAACATTCGAAAAATAAAGAAATTCATGATTCATAATAGTTAAATAAGAGAGATATAATAGTACCTTTCAATTCTTCTTCCAAGTTTGAAGAGCCATTTACTATCTGAAAATAAAGTAAATATATAATTATTAATAACGGGAAATTTTTTTCTGAAAAATCAAGAACTAACAATGCATGATTGCCACCATGTTTATTCATATAGAGAATACATAAAACTCAGTCGGTATCAGCCAAGTGATGTAATTTGCTGAGCTTTTAAAAAAATTCAATATATTTTCACTAGTGTCTTAACCTAATCATGCCCTGACAACGTTCTTTAGTGAAAAAAAATTGGTAAATGACATCGTTTTGGTCATAGCAGCAGAGCTCTATGTATCCTCAACAGGAGAACTAGCAGAATCTTAGAATAGCTACAATTTGCAATTTTGCATTTGTTGCCTTCATTGTACAGTTTAACTTTGAAAGCTCCACAATAAAGCGTTCAACCAACTGTTTTGCTGTTTAAAAAAAGTATATAAATATTTCAAATATACCTCTGAATGTTCATTTACATAATCTAAATTTTCTTCATCTGACGATTGGTCTAAATTATCATCAGTTGAGTTCTGATGGTCATCAGAGTGTTCATCCACCTATCAAGGAAAATTCAAATATGTTGAAAAATATACTGTTGCACATTGTTTGCACATAAAGGGTTAATCATCCACTTCATAAACAGTGGTTCTTAAAGTATGGGTCGCGACCCAAACATGGGTCGCGGAAGGTTTAAAAATGGGTCGCGACAAGGTCGTCAATGCAAGGGCAATCTAAGAGGAGAAGGACGAATTTTCAGCTTTCCCAATGTTTCAATTTAGCTTCTAAACTCTGGTATTTAAAAATAATGAAATAAAAAATTTCATTCACGGAAAGAACTGTCTTGAGCTCATTGTTACATCACAATTCTGATATGCCAGTCACGTGTATTATTTTTATGGTATCGGTAACCATGCACGTCGCTTGTCGTTGTGTTGACCGCATGGAATGTCGTCTTAGTGGATTAAAATAACCAAAAATGGGTGTCTTTTTGGTAATGAAAATTGTAATAGACGACGCAATGAAAAAGCTCGCTTCTCGACATTAGATTATTCAATATCTAGAGAAAATGTGACTTCATCTCGAGGCACCAATTACCGCGAACGAAGCAGTGCGTGCACATGTGACGAGTAAAAAGTTGTATATTGCGAGAGATACCGAAGGCCAGCTAGGATGTCGTGTTTGCGACGGACAGCAGACGCCTTTTCTGCTACAATTCGCGACAAGGCACTTGTGCGAGCGAGGATATTTGGCACTGACGGTTATCAAAACTAAGCTCGCAATCGCTTCGATACCAGTGACAACTTGTGTATTGCGTTATGTAAAATAGAGCTGTGTATTGAAGATATAATGAAAAAGGAAATTTCAGTTTCATCAATCTCACTGAGTCAATGGACTGTTTCTAATAAATAGTTGTCTGTATTTGAGTCAAACTGTACTAACATTAAAAACACATTTTGCGTTTTTTAGGATTGGGTCGCGAGTATTCATAAAACTCAGATTTGGGTCGCGCTCGAAAAAGTTTAAGAACCACTGTCATAAAGGCTCCAGACAAGCAGCCACTCATTCTAAGAGGGCCAGTTTGATTCAAAGCAGCGGTTCCCAAGTGGGGGCCCGTGGCCCCCCAAGGGAGCCACAATGCTAGGCGCAAAAGTGATTTTACTTTTCTCTTCACATGAAAATTCCCTGTTTTTCCTAGTTTCATTGCTTGATAAGGGTATTTCTCGGAGTGTTGAGCATGAATTGCTCATGATAAAAGCTTCCGAAAGAAGACCATGAGCCGTGAAAGGTTGGGAACCACTGATTTAAAGCCCTCTATACAATATCATCACTCCTGACTGTGGCAAGAAAGACACTGTTTAAACCTTGATATTTTCAATCTGGCAACATATATGTTCAACAATCACTTAGGTTAATTATAATAATACTAAGTTTAGTTGAGATTTGTCATCTGGGGCCAGTAATTTACTCATAGTAATCGTAGTAGTAAGCAGATAGGTCTGAGTAATATATTTCGGAAGTTGCAAGACAGTAGTAACAAAATTAAAGTTGTTTGACATTCATTTAATATAAAATCAATCTTATCCTGTCTTCAGATTTACCTTTAAGTCAGACATTCTGATTTGCTCTTCACTTGATTGATGTTTCTAAAGTATTTAAAATAGTTCAGATTAAGAAATAAATTCATGAATGAAAAAATATATGAAAAAAAATATAACAACACCCCATTAAAACTGATTTCATTTATATAAGAATAGACTATTGAGTCGCAAGTCAAGTCTGAAATCAAGTCAGTCACTGAGTTAATTTTCACTAGCAGTCAGTTAATAATGGGACCGAGTCATTCCGTTTACATGACTCAAGTCACTTTAATAAATAATAAGCCGAGTCCAACTCGAACCCCACTAACACTGTTTAATAGAATTAATCAAATAAGTATTACTGTGTAGCAGTGGTTCTGTGGTACGCGTATGGCGTTTATAGCGCTACCAGTGCTTGTCTTTATAGATCACCCTTTGCCTGCTACTGACCACTTGAAAAAAACATTACAGACATTTTTTTGCCTGTTTTGCGTTTTATGTCACAGTGCAATTTTGCATGCAATTAAAACGTTGTTACCGCATATAATTAATATGTTGAAAGTTTGTACGAAACTCTAAAAATAGATGTATTGCCACGTTATAATTACTCTTATAGCGTCTTTCTTGTGCCATTGTTCCCCACCCACAAAAAAAGGGTTTGTCAGTGGCATGATCCATTATGAAACGCTCATAAGATAAGTGGTACGCAGTCCGTAAAAGGTTGAAAACCACTTCTGTATAAGAATGAAGCATACAACTTTCATACTTTGAAGTTAAAAATAATATATTTTATTTTAACTACCATAATTGCTCGATCCAGCAATTAAATGTAAAACTCAGAAAAATTAAAATGGTTAGTTCAGTTATTTAGGTGACCAAGATTGTTATTTTCATATACTGCATCGAATTAAATGGAGACCTTCAATAAATAGTTTCAAGCTATCTTCTACCTTTGATTTTTTAGCCACAGAATTTTTCATCTTTTTCAATTTATTTGTGACAGTCTTTTTTGCCTGGTATCCCATTTTGAACACTTTTCCAGACTCTAATGCCAAATACATAGAAGACAATCTGGGAGGAAGCTTTGTCATCTGAGAAAATACAGTGATAAATTAATAAAAAAGGAAAAAATCAAACAAATCACTGAAACAAATCACTGATTACCGTAACTATTACTATACATAGATTGGCAACATCACCATATGAATAGACCAGTGGGCCACACCCCACAATGGGAGCATAGACAATTTTTTGCGAGGGCGTGAATCTAATTTGCCCGCTTTGTTTTGGATATCGTTTTCATTTCTATATTATGTACACATATTTTCACTGTGTTTTTTGAATGAAACCTACATTACGTACTATCTGTAATCTGTAGCTTATTGTTAGCTAATTATTTCTGAAGTTGGGGCCCGAGACTTGATAAATTTTAAACCACTGGATTAGACAGTCCTATCATATCTCCTCTCTCCCAAAAATAATTTGCAACATATTATCTTCTTTTGTTGTGATGTATCGAATGGTGTGAAAGTATTATCAATTAAATTATATACCGCTTGTCAGTTATGGCTTCCAAGAGCTGGATTGAGGGTACTGCTGTAGTGTGTGTACCAGGTTAGGGTTAGGCCATAATTTTATTCCGATTTTCCTTATTTTAGTTCTATTGCAAATTCAGTGACTGTCTGTATTAGCCAAGTGAATAAATATACCCTCTGCCCATAGGTTTCAGTCCCTTTACACAACTTGATGTAAGTAGGCAAACAAAATTAGTTACCTTCATATTGGTACACACACTTTTGGAGCGCCGAATTAAGTACCTTGTACCTTGTTACCAAAAATAGAATAAAGCAGTTTGCCATATGCTTAAGCCATATTGACTTTTCCCTCCCTTGGGGAATATATATTTACGAGTTAATTGTTCTAATAATTAATTGTTCTAATAAGCTACTGGTATTATGATCCTTCCAATGGATAACTTTTTAGATTTAATGACTCTGATTTTACTCCGATTCAATGGTGATTTATGGTAAATCATGAGTTGATATTTTAGTTCAATTTTTATTTTAAATGTCTAATTTCCTCGCTACCAGCGTGACTCAATAGTATAAATCTTGTCCTATCTCAGTAGAAAGTTTACTTACTGCTACATATGGATCATCAACTTCATTGTAGACGGGATACCACTCTGTATTGAGTTCCCTCTGTAAGGCAAAGATCTTATTTTGAATTTGCAAATTATTGTTCTTCATACTACAGTTAAAAACATTAAGATGTATAATTACATTCATGGGAGGCAGTCAGATGCCAGAAAAGCGTAAACGCCATGCCATAGCTAGGAAATGGGATTGGTAATGTAATATACATATACAGCCAAATATATACACACCTGACCAACTCATATACATATATGGTCAACCAAATATGCATATGCAGCCAATGCTATAAGTAAACAGAGCCAACCCAATATATAAACGTCAATTTTCATATGCATATACAGCCAACTCAATATACAGAGTCACTTACGTATAACACAAAAAATCAATGTCATATGCATATACAGCCAACTCAATATACATATACAAGCCATTTAAGTGATGTACATACATAATTATATGAATATACAGCCATTTAAGGGATGCACACACACAGTGACACAGCCAATGTGATGTGCATATATAGTCATCCCAATATACAACAGCTGATGTTATATGCATATACAGCCAACTCAATACACATATAGAGCCATTTCAGTTATGTAAATACGAAATTATAATCATTTAGAGCCAACCCAATATGTATATACAGCCATTTTTGGATGTCTATACATAACTTATGGCGATCTAGGGAGTTCCTTTGTCAATCACAGCTGATGATTGGCACAAACAAAATAAAATTAATGGGTTTCTAGTCTTTTCTCTTCTCGCTCTGGAAACAAGATTAAATTGTTCAGCAAGTTCATATCTTACCTGTTTGGAAGCTTCTCTCTTTAGACGTTCCAAGTGATGCTTGAGAAGTAGGCCGTGTTCACCTCGACATCCAGCTAAGCTAAGATATTTTGTAATTCTTTTTTCAAGCAGCATTGCATGCAAGTAAGTGATGCTTGCTTCACTCAAAACAGCCCATTTCATGCTGAGTACAGAAATCTACAAAAAATAAGCTTGTGTAATATATAGGATAGGATTTACATATTTACCCTGTGGAAGGGGAAAGCCGATGAGACGGCCTAATCATATTGCTAACCATGGCCTCTCGTCTGGTTACCGGCCCATGTCGCGTATGGGATTCGTTAGCCAGTTATTTATTTTCGGAAGCATGAATATGTGCATATTAATTCAACAGAGCATAAGTGAAACCATTAAAAATCACCCAAAGTTCAAATTTAATTCATAATAAAATGTAAATGTAAATGTTTATATTATGCACAATTTTTAACCTTCAACAATTCCGCTCAAATATTTTAACTACCGTATTTCCCGGCTAATAAGTCTACCCGGCAAATAAGACGATGTCTATTTTTAGCACTCAAAAAGAGTGTTTTTCTATATAGCTGTCCTATGAACGGGTAGAAAACTTGCTTCTCTGTTGGTCAGCTAAACACTAATATGCACTAATAATTTCATATGGTTAGATCTAGATCATGTTTGTTTGGTAGAATCATACTCACAGAATTAATATTTCTTTAACAATAAAGCGGTAATTTTAAGTTAAAAAGGGGCAATCATTTTGAACAACTTATTAACCTGAACGTTGGAATAACCGCTAAATAAGGTGTGATAAGGAGTACACTGTATGTCCATGGGTTTGTTCACAGCTGTGTTTTCCTGTCTGTGTCGTTTTTCGTCGAATTAGCAAAACGGAAGTGCTTCATGACACCAGCTAGTTATGACTACAAAGGAGTTTTTGAAAAGAATATGACAAATACCAGCTGCCAGTACAAGCCTACAAGGTAAATTAAATATCATGATTGGAGACCCTTTGGCGTCATCGAGTGCGTAATAAAAAATATTAAACTAAATATAAGGTTCACACAAATCATGTTTTAAGCTTACCTGTCCAATAAGACGACCCCCCAAAATCAGGCCATAAAATTGGTTCTAGAAAACGACTTATTAGCCGGGAAATACGGTAATTCTTTGAAAATGGAGATTACTGCAAATGATGACAAAATAGCATAAAATACCTCATTTGGAACATCATGTAATGCTTCTAAAATAGCTGTTGCAAACTCCATTTTGAGATCTTCGGGTAAGTCCAGGGCAGATATACTTTCTCTCTTAATCAATTTACGCAAAGTGTTGATACAATCAAAGTTTATGTTATTCTCTCTGATGTCTAGCTGTATTTGATTGTCCTGAGAATATATACAAAAATTTAAAAAAAAATTAGATAAAAAATCATTTCGCTTCAATTATTCAAAATCCTGTGAATGACCCTAAAAAAATTGTTGCTCATTTCTGATGATGAAATTGATTAGAAATAGGATAGGATTTACATATTTATCCTGGAGAAAAGCAAGTCGATGATACGGTTTAATCATATGGTGGTTAAATATGGCCTCTCGTTCGGTTACCAGCGTATGTTGGGTGTGGGATTAGTTACCTAGTTATTTATTTTTGGTAGCATTGACTTGATGGTGGAGGAAGTCGTGACCGGCCAGTGGTTACGCAAACCGAGGAGGCGACGAGGAGTCCAGCAATCATCTTGCACACAATTTACCCAGCCTAGGTTTGAACCTGTAAACCCACACACAGAAATCAGAGGTGCGGTGGCGTATCCCTAGCGTCTGAGTTATCACATTTCGATGACTTGAGTGTTTGAGAAACCATGATTCAAATCCAACTTGAGTCTAGGATTCAAGCCTCCTCCACACTGGTTAGTAAGTTTGAATCCTGTAGGACATTGGCTCCCAACTTTTTATGGCTCGTGGCCCTCTTCTGGAGGCTTTTGGCACTCATGGCCCCCCTGTTTATCATTCGATGGTATTTATGGTGGTATTATTGGTAGATTCCAAATCTTTTTATATTCAAGCAATTCATGCTCAACAAAGTGAAAATACCCTGTGAAATATCTTTATCAAGCAATGAAACTTGAAAGAACGTTTGTTTTTTCTGTCAAGAGAAAAGTGAAATCAGTTTTGTGCTTAGCACTGTGGCCCCTCTCCAAATACTCTGTAGCTCCCTTGGTGGGCCACGGGCCCTGCTGTAGGTGATGATAACTTGCCAAAGGATTGCTGTTAGCAAGATTGGTAATTGGACAAAACACCATGGATGTGATAAAACTGTCCATTTGAATTTCTTTCCAATGAATAAATGAGGAAAGTGTTATACTATGTGGACTAGTAGTAATGCCAGATGTAACCCACCTTATTGACTAACTTATTGTTCTTCATTGCTCGAAGTACTTTATGTAGTTGACCAGGATCTTTAAAACATTCTCGAATACTGACATCGTTCAGTAAACACCTTTCTAAACAATATTCCAAATCTTTTATATATCTAGAATCCAAACGTTTTAGGGTAAGCATCAATATCCTAAATTTTTTCATCTTTTCCATTTTTCTCTTCACATCTTTTAGTTGAGAAGGATGAGCTAGAATATAACCCTCATCACTGTTGGAAACACCAGCCATATTTTTCTTGTCACAAATCTTGTAACCGACTACCGACTAAGTCAAAATTAAAAACATTTTTGTAAAAACCTGTTCAAAGAGAAATGTAAAAGTCTCAATACTCAATTTCATCTGAATCAAATATTGTCAAAACAGTTTGAAATATCAAACGAATGTAAGAAACTCCTGGTGAGAAATATTCTAATATTCAATAAAAAGTGTCTGTATATACACATTTTAAACTTAATATTTTGTGCTTATTACCAGATGTGCATGTATTTCGAGTCTGATAGCACACACTGGCTAGTTAGACTTCATAATTATATTTTATACACATTTATTATTTTCAAATTCCATTCAAAGTAATTATTGATAGTCCAACCTAAACATCATCATCCATGGCTCATACTTGACTAAAAACATTCCATGTGGATTTTTTCATAAAATCACACACAAAAATAATACTATAAAATTGTAACGAATTTGCTCCATTTTTCAATAGTATTTATTAATTCAAGCTATTTTCATTACAATTACCGTTCAATGCCATTACTTATACTTTATTTTTAATAGTGTGGGCAGCTTCATGTTTACTATAGTGAACCTAAGTTCCTTCAAGCAAAGAGGTACTAATGGCTAGAAAATCCATTTGAATTTGCTAACTCCACTCTCAGCTCAGAAATATCACGGCGCAAGTCTACAAAAATGAATGTTTAGCAAGGTTTGTCAGTTTTGTGACCTTTTGATGATAAATGGAGTAATTTCTAATATAATATTGACAATTCCTGTTTACTCAGAGAATACGATATTAAGGGCTAGCTTGTAAACTTTTCTATTTTCCCGCCGAATCTTTTGGAGAGATGGGCATGTTTGGGCTATCTATGCTACCTACTTTTTGAAACCGAATTGGGGATAATTATAGTTGTAAATGGTGCTTGATATTTCACTAATTTTTTAACGGTACACTATTTACAAATTCAAAAAACAGTTTTTCATTTATGTAGCAGTGTGGGAACCGTATACAAGCAACGTACAACTATGGCACAAGCTTAATAAATCACAATTCGAATCTGATCCAGCTAAGTGTAGAACGAATCTAATTAGATATCGATATGTTGTACTTTGAATTACTACATCTACACTGCAAGTATTACAAACTAGCTTTAAGTTCCTTATTACGAAGACTAATGTCTTTGGTGGTCATCCAAGCAGAAACTTCGTCGAGTAATATTATACATTTGTTGATGTAATGAAACGAGAGTTACGCACGCTCATTAATTAAATCCGCAGTCAGAGAATTGGTTTGATAAAGAGTTATTCCAGCTGTTGGAATAAAAATCGCAAGCCATTTAAATTAAAACGAGTAAATTTTAATTAACGACGGAACAACTACTGGTCAGAACTAATAGCCATTCAGTCCTACGTGATCCGATATTTCACTAAAACGTATTTTACCACACAACGAGGCAACAATTGTTGGTCCAATCGTAATATCCAATCAAGATGTAAATTTCAAGAAGCGCATTGCTGTTATTATGGATGTTAAACCCGCACATGTGAAAGATATTGATAGGTCAAGGCTTTCGGATGAGCTTGTAGTGCATAAAATGCTATATATGGTTCGTTATGTTAAATTCATGTTGTTGTTGGACAATGAAACGCCTATGTTAGTTGATTAGTTTCGACTCTCAGTGTATATATGTATATATGACCGTTTGTACACCCCCAGCCCATTATATCTGACACATCTCACAGATATTACAACTAGGGTTGCCAACTTTGCGTTAAACCATTCTGGGACACTTTAATGTCTGGAATTTATAAATTGATGCAACAGCAGCTTGTGAAACGCGAAGCACGTCAAACGCGTCGTGTTATTTTCACGAACTGTACATAATTTTATCACAATCAAAGAAATGTTGACTATCTGTTGACGCGTAAATGCAAAAAAAAAAACTAAAACAGGGCAAACGTACAATTTGTTATAAATAGATTTAATTACTTAACAAAAAACACAAGAAATCAGTCAGTCTATCTGGTATTTAAATTCGTATTTTCATATGTTTTATTTTATTTCGTATTTGTGATTTTGCCGCTTCAAGAAGATCTTCGTTAGTTTTCACAAAGTTTTATGTTAAAATTTGTAATCTCTACGGAAATATAATAATTAATGAACTTTCGCTAGGACAAGAGCTGTCAGAAAGGCGTTCTAAAACAGACGGCTATGCGAGCCTGAAAACTGACTGAATAATGAAATCCTGCTCATAAATAGCCTCACACTAACAGTGCATTTCTGACTAACACAAAAAATTGTTCCACGTCGCAACTTTATTGACTAAATTTTTCAAAAAATCTCACTGGATCAAGTTTTGGATTCTCTCAAATCAAGGTGACTGCTGTGTATATAAATATTATCATCCATTTTGCAATTGTTCAACTTTTTTTAGTGTTTTGTCATCAGGAAGTCAAGTTGATGAAACATGTCTTATTCACAAGGTTCAACTCACTTCTATTTGAATGACCCATACAGATGTAATCGTTTTTATTAAAAAATATATTTGCATGAATTACGTCTGTTTTCAGTTATGAACGAAACCGACACGCTTACAATGGCCTTCTATTTTAGAACGATTTGTTTGTCATTAAATACCAGGGCAACCGTCGCCAAGCCCGGGTCACGGGACGCTACACGCCAATTTCGGGACTGTCGCGGCCATTCCGGGACGGTTGGTAGCCCTAGTTACAACTGTGCCTTTAATATTATTTCTACTTTTTCAACCCGATTTCAGAAGATTGAAATAATTAAAAGTTACTATTAAAGCTATCCAACATGACAAAATTTCCTTCCCTCCTGGAAGTGACACTCTAATATTAAAATGAATTTTACACCATAATTACACTAAAAAGTTTATTTTCACATCAAAATAACTTTAACCATATTATAAACAACTTTCAAACCAATCTTATCTACAAAATTTTGAATATATTCGATTGATCTTTCATTAAAATATCAATGAATAAATGAGAATATTCGTAAAAATGAAACGGTCTTGACAAAAAGAAAATAGTAAGATGTTTACAAATATACCAGTCTGTTAGAATTATCGAACAAAATTAATTAAACAAAAAACGCGACTTACTGAGATTATAATTATTGTATAACATTATAAGAAAACAGACAATGGTTAGACAGACAAATAGGCAAGAATAGCAAACATGATGAGTACTTTTATAAGAAATCTAACACAACAATATAAATTAGAAGTATCGATACCATCCATTCATTTATATCAGGGGTCGGCAACCTTTTATCGATCGCGGGCCAAAATTAGGGGTTGCAAGTCATTGGCCGGCCGCACATATTTTTGGAAAGTTGAAATCGAACGGATGATATGTTTTTTATTATAAATCAAGCCGTGATACATCCTTCGAAAGGAATTTAGATTTATTTCCTCATTGCATTGCATCTCAAAAAATTCTATTTGAATATTTTCGGCGCCATTGAACCTTTTGCACTTAGCATCAACTTCTCTGCCTTTTATTGCCAGTTGTCTAATTATAATTATATTATAGGCTCATTAAACGAGTAATTGTGAATTTTATACTTGTTAGATTATAATATAACTTAGTCTACACGTGCCTCACAATAAATTCTGTTACGTAAAAAATAGAATCGTCAAATCAGCTGTTTTGTTACTATAATTCCGTGAAGCGTCGCGGGCCGGATTGCTTTATAGACATAGGTAATACATTGGACTCACGTATAGGCTTTGCAACACGAAGAAAATGAAATTACTCGCATGTACCAGATTAAACTAGATTAAAAACTCGTTTCGCAGGCCGCACATCATTCAAAATTGGCACTTTTTCGCGGGCGCTCAATATTTTTCTTGCGGGCCGCATTTGGCCCGCGGGCCGCAGGTTGCACGCTCCTGTTTTAAATGATTATTCCTCTTATATTGGATACATTTTCAGGCAGTTCACGGTTCATGCTTGGTGACATGTTTTATAAAATGTGAACAGTGCAAACCTGAACGGGTAATTTCTTATACAACATATATTTTTGTTCATTTAACTACAAAAAATGAACGCCAAAATCTCTCAGCCTGGTTCGTGGATCACATCCATATTGGAGTCAGCAATCTAATAAATATAGTGACTTCATAATGCAATCCTGAGTATGACTTAATTGTTCATCCGTTGTAAATGTCCATTCAGAAATATAAATAAATCGATCTGATTCGATGCTCGTTTGAGCTTTTTTGACCCGTTATAATGATAAAGATTTTTTTTCAGTCTTGTACAATGATGCACAATAATTCTAAATATAAAAGTAAAGAACTTAATTTGTAGCGAACAGACTGAAATCATTTACTCAGCAGTATTACCCAATTTTTGCTAATCTATTATTAAATAGAGGTAGATTATAGTGCAAATTAAATGAGTCCTCTCTTGAAGATGAGACTCTGTTAGTGATTTTATTTCGAGCATGAATGATGTTGCATGGTGAGTGGTGACAACTGATGACGTTTAATATTCTAATGAAAAATTGAAAGCAAAACGAAATTTGAAATAAACTTGTCAGATGTCAGACGAGTTATTTGATAAATGTAATCAACATTCCCTGATTCAACTACCATGACCGCCACCTCACTCCGGTGTTTCAGATTTAAAACTAGTATGTCAACTCCGAAAAACTTACTTTTCTATACACTTTGAAGTTGATTATATTATTATTCGTTTTTCGAAAGTTGAAATTTTTTTCCTTCCAATAGTTTTTTCTGATGAAGTTTTGCCATCATCAAAACGTGGTATACCAACAAATGAATTTCCTATAATTTAGAGTTAAAAATTAGCAAGGTAATACCATATTTGTTGTAACATTCTTTCCAATATTTTTTAACTTATGTTTATGTGAGTTTATGCTTTATTCACCTTGCCTACTAAGTCGATAAGATTCTCTATATCTTGAATGTTCAGAATGATGGTTATCGAGCTTGGGAATGTCATGGATAGCTGCATTCGATACTTATCTGTTCGAAGAAGTTATTTCTCTCTTGCTGATTTCAGAAGATTTTTCACTGCTTGAATAAGCTGTATAATAAAATGACAAAAAAATGATATTTCATTCTTATAATATTTTGGTATAGCAGTAACATCATGTGGGGATTGTGCCCAGGACTAGCTCTATTATTTAAATTTTGAAAATGTAACTCCGAAAATGAAGAGAACAAAAGATATTTATTCAATCAGATATGTTTTTGAAATTACAGAACATCTATCCATTAACCTATCTATCGGCCCTAAAACCATTACTCATATGCATATGACTTTGCTAACTTCCCCTACCTTTACAAGGTTGGCAATGCTATGGCCTCAAATTTGGAAATGAATTGTATTTTACGTTTATTTTAATGCTGAAAATGACTGATAAAAGGGAGATATAAGTGTAACATATTTACAAGTAGAAGCTTTTTTTTTTTATAGCAGAAGCATAATAAACATTGTGTGTGTTACCTTCTCTGGGTGGATAACTGGTATTTCTTAAAGACATTCTACGTCGAAATTTGTCAAGAATTTTAGTAATGTTGGATAATTCTGTAGATCCTTTTGGTTCTGCATGATCTCTTGAACTCACTGCACCTAATAAAGGTTTTTATTATAAATTAATGTGTGCACTCTAAGCTTTTACCTCATGGGTCAAGTATTAGATTACTAATGAAAAGAAGTACCAGCAGCAAGATAGATACGAGTGTGTACTAGAGTGCTAGCTTTTAGATAAGTTCTTGAATTAGGGGACACGGGGATATCAGCAACATATATTTACATAGATGTATTAAAACTCAATGCTGAGCAAAAAAAGCTGATCAAGTTTAATATACCATGTCATGATTCTGGCTGCGACTGCTTCCAATATCACTATCGGACTTCAGTGTGAAACTTCCCAAATACAACTTTCTATGACACGGTGTACTGCAAAGCCTAATTTTCAATGCTTTTCAATCACAGAATTCCGTTGACACAAGATGACTTGAATACATGCCAATTACCAGTATATGCAATTGGGTCTTAAACATTTCTAATAAGTAACACCATGCCTAAATTCAAATGGCAACAGAAAATAAAAAATATCGGTATTAATACAAGGAAAGATTATGCAGGCTCGACACCCACCTGGGTGACCTCGCTGTTCCTTCTGATTGTGGTTCCACTCTGTATTTGTCATTCTTGAATGTTGATGAGGAACTGCAGACATGGGTCTCTTTACGACTTCTGGGGGGGTGAAAACAACATCAACTAAACTTGTCCTGTTCCTTCCTCGATGTTTTAATGAATTCATTCGTTCTGAAACATTTACCGTAAGTTTTAGTATTATAAGCACTGTTGCAGTTGGTTTTACAAAAATGCTGGATTGTTTATTGGCTCGCCCATGTATCTGGAATAACTATGGCCATATCTGACATGAACTAATGGCTGGAACTGTAGTTCGCTACATGAATGAAGCTGTTTTATCAGCTTCCTTTTTTCTAATTAGGCAAAATAACACCCATAGTAGCATTAAATACCCAAGATTGCTGAAAATGTTAAACAGGTTGAAACAGGGATGCACAACCTGCAGCCGTTGAGGATGAAATGTGCTGTAATAATGTTTTGTCTGTCAAATATGCACAATGCAAGAATACTGGCAACGCCATTAGTAATTTATTACCTAGAATTAAATACCTATCTCAACAGGGCTCTATACAAGCAGCTACTGTGTATGGATATGTAAAAAAAGAATTTTTTTCCAATGGCTGGGATCCTCCTGGTTTCGCCATTGTCCACCGATTTATTACATTTTCCAAAATTATTTTAAAGAAATATCATTTTGACTATGTAGAAATGCCACTATCAGCGATTCCATCAGTATTTCAATGGAGAAATGTAATAATGAGGCATCACTGACAAGCTGGTTCGCCATGTCGGTATATGCAATGACTACATTGCAGGATTTTTATTCATCGCAAAACTAACACAGCCGAAAATGAAAGTAGAAGTCCCTCTATAAAAACGTAGTGTGTCGTTTATAGGAAAATGTTTTACATCCCTGAAGAAATTCATAGATTATCAGGATCTATTTCATGCATACCTAAATCATATTTCAATTCAAAGTCCCTCGCTTGTTTTGCTTTAGCTTCATTGAACTTTCTATTTTGTATATTAGCGATTGACTCTAATTTGTCTTCTGTGTATTCATTCATATCATTCTTTGATTTCTTACCAAACTCTGTTGATTTTGATTCTTTTGCAAGATCATGCTTGTAATCTAGATTTTAGAGAAAAATAAAAGTGAAATATTCAGCAATTTAAAAGAAAAATAGTTCTATGTTCAATTTTCTGCGCTCCAGAAGTGTGTGTACCAATATGGAGGTAATTAACTTTGTTCATCTACTTTACATCAAGTTGTGTGAAGGGACTGAAACCTATGGGCAGGGGGTATATTCACTTGGCTAACACAATCAGTCCCGAACTGGTAATAGAACCAAAATAAGGAAAATCGGAAAGAAAAAGCATGGCTTAACCTGGTATATACACTACGGAAGTACCCAATTTTCTACTTAAAAAAAGTATTGCACACAGCCTTGCAACTATTGCCGTCATTCTCCATAGACATTATTAACTGAAGTACTATTGCAGGATTTTAAGATAAAGCAATCTATTAACATTCAGGCTGTATGTTCTTTCAAGTCTATTGTGCAGATTCAATGAAGCTTTAAAATTTTCATTGCTATTGATAAATATTCAAAATAATTACACCACTGAATGATGATTTTAAATTTAATAGCGGAAAAACAAATTAGTACAACCACCTCTTCCATTTCCTTGAACATTAGACTGAGAAGCTGACTTGTGAAACGACAGAAGTGAGCGATAATCAGCTGGTTTGCAAACAGCTTCCTGTTGTTCACTAACATTTCCATAATTAGTTCGAGGTTCATTTTTCTCTGATTTTTTGAATAAGTTATTTGTTTTGGTACCTAAATTTTTGAAATGAACAGCATTATCTAAGATAAAAAATTCAACATTGAGGATTCTAATCCTATTTTTTAGGAAAGATAAGTATAATAGAAATTTTGAAATGTTTGCAAGCACTGTCTCCTACCAACCAGACACCTGCCAAAATTGTGTACAGAAATTTCTATTTGATATAACTTTATGAGTATGAATAGCAGAATGGTTTATAACAGACAGTTAAAAAACATTAGATTCTTCAGCATAAATAAGGAAGAAAAGCGAAAATTAGTTTTCATATTTACTGCATTTCTCGGCTATTAAGTCGATTTTATAGACCCAAATTTTTTGCCCAATTTTTGGGGTTCCATCTTATTAGGCAGATATGCTTATTTTATTTTTTATGGGATTTGGTTATTTTTTGCAAGATTATTTAATTGACTTTGTACTGCCAGCTGGTCTTTGTCTTATTCTTTTTAAAAATGTGGCTGGTGCAATGAAGCACTCTCTGTTATGCCTGATATCAGCAGAGATAAAGTGATTGAGTTATGACCCTTCCGTTTTGCTGATTCAGGAAAAAAAACGACACCAGACTGGAAAACACAGCTGTTAACTAACCCATGGACGTACAGAGCAGTACTTATCACACCATATTCATAGGTTATTTCAACGTTTCAGTTAATTTGTTGTTCAAAATAATTGAAATCACCGTTTTATTGTTAAGAATAAATGTTGTTCTAACCATATAAAATTATGAGCGCATATTTGTGCCTAACTGACCAACATAAAAGCAATTTTCCAGCCCTGTCTTATTGGCGGGCTATATGGAAAACCCTATTTTCCAGTGCTGAAAATAGGCTTCGTCTTATTTGCCGGATTATTCTACCTGAAACAAACATGACCCGGTTTTAACCATATAAAATTATGAGCGCATATTAGTGCCTAACTGACCAACAGAAAAATTTTTTTTCAGACCCGTCTTATTGGAGGGCAATATGGTGAACTCTAAAAATAGGTTTCGTCTTATTTGCCGGGTAGACTTATTCGCTGAGAATTACGGTAATACCTTTTTTAGGTGAAAGATTATCACCATCCTGCATTGTCGCAGATTTATCCTGAGGAACTTCACATAGTAACTTCGGGATGAACTTTTTGTATACTTGAGTCCTTGGACCAACAAAATCAGTTGACTTTTTGGTAGTTTCTAAACTTTCAGGAGTTTTGCTGTGCAACGCTTTTTCTTGCTCTCGTCCTGGTATCATTAATAAAATTAAAGCTTATGGTTATAAATTTTTTTTAACATTTCTGTACTTTACCTGTATTTGAAACTTATTCTAAAATTTCTTACATAATCCCCCACCCAGAACAAAAAAGACGTTTGAATTATTTGAATTTGGAAAGCATAACCGCAAGCTTTGAGTGGAAAACAGCCTTGTTAGTTGTGACTGCTCCAGCGTGTTAAATGAATTAAATCAAATTTCTCTGAATATTTACAATACTTGGTGAACGCCATTTTGGCTCTTTACGAGAAAGTTGATTCTTTATTAACATGTTAAATGGTCAAGAAGTTTAGCGAATGGACCACCTGGTCTGGTAACCAGACAAGAAGCTTATTTTTCCTTGTATAAATAAGTCATTTCCAAAACTTTTTCCTTTTCCTGGAAAATTCTGAATTCTAATACCTTTGCTGCCAAAGAAACTGTCAAATTCTGGACACTCATCTCATTCTGCCATGTTCTGGTACCGTATTAGGATCATAATCATCTTTAGCAGAAGCTTTTTGTCTCTGTCTCAAAATCTTTGCTGATGCTGCGCTTTCAACTTTTATGCAAGAATTACCATCAGAAGCTACTAAATATTATATGAAAATTATAATACTATATTCTTCTAAAATAAAGCCAAAACTATAAAAATTCAGATTTTCTGCAAAATCTGTGTGACATATTTGTGACACCTCACAAAATAAATGATGTTTATTGAGATCACAGTCTGCCTTGTGTGCCCTCAACACAGAAGTTGATTTCTTATTTAGGGTTTAACATACAACAATTTTGTTTTTAATAGAAAGTAATTTTAGTTTAGTTATAAACCAACTGCTAGCATCCCTTACAAGTTTCAGATAAAAAATGTTCCACTTGTAAATGTAATAAAAATAAGTTTAACATAATCATCAGTTGGTGCATCATGCTGAACAATAGGAGCACCCTCACCATCGCATTCGCAGGTTTAAACCATGTGAGGGGGAGGTAATTATATGTAAGTGGATTGCTGGACTCTTTTTCATTCTAAGGCTAACTATTAGAAATTTGCTCGATATCGCACGCCTGGTTACCCTGCATTGCTTCGCAGGTTTGAATTTCATATGTGGGGAGTTATGTGCAAGAGGATTGCTAGACTCATCGCCGCTGTAGGGTGGTTCACTGGTCGGCTAATGAGTAACCAGTGACCGCTCGTCGGCTATGGCTTCCTCCACCATAAAGTTCATGCTTCTGAAAACAAATAACTGGCTAACTAATTCCATACCTGACATGGAGTGGTAACCAGACGAGAAGCCATGGTTTGTTATGCATTTAAGTTGCTATATTGTTTTTCCTTTCTGCAGAGATAAATTTGAAATTTTATTCCAATCAGATCATTATTTTTTTATTGTTCTTGTATTCTAAATATTATATTGCTGTTTCTTTTTATATTATATATTTATATAATTGCGGATAAACTTGCTAAAGTTTCAAACTTGCCTTCTCGAGATTTTTCGTTTTCTGTATTCATGATTTTTCTCAATTGCTCCGAATCTTTCTTCTCTTCTAAATATTCAGGAAAATAAATTATGTTTGATTATTCTAAAAAACCTAAATATTAATGAAAGTGGGAGAGCTTTAATACATAAAAATATGATTGTTCAATTTTGCAAATGTTTATCATTCATCAAAAAAACATTATATATTTTTTAAATTATCATTCAAATACCCAGCCTTATAACCTAATCTGCAGAAGTATCAAGATTGCCTGAAATCATGTAAACAGCTAATCTAATCCAATCTCCGATACAAATGAATAGATCTACTTTTCATGATTATCTTACTGTAGTTGGCAAATAAGAAAGAGCTTGTTTTTTCATATATGAATAGGTCATCTTTTTTCTCTCCCGGATAAATAATAATTTTGATTCACGAATACCTTTACTGTCGAAATAACTGCCAAATTTTTGACGTCCCCTTTTCTTTCGATTCATATCATGTTCTGGTACAGTATTAGGACCATAATCATCTGTAACAGAATCTCCTTGTTTCCTTCTCAAGATCTCTGCTGATGCAGTGTTCTCAACTTTCAGGAAATAATTTCCAGTGAATGCTATCAAAAAATTCTATCGAACTTTACAATGCCATGAAGTTTAAAATCAAAAATATCTAGTCAGCTGTAATTGTTACCACCAGTATTGAATTTTACAATGCCATCAAGTTTAAAATCAAAAATATCTAGTCAGCTGTAATTGTTACCACCTGTCCGTGTATCTGGAACAATTAAACTGGTTAACTATGCCAATATACTCAGCATGGATTGGTAACCAGATGAGAAACCATCATTTATCATGAATTTAAGCAGCTTATTGTTTTGCATATCCCCTGAGCTAATTATGAACTTCTACTTTAATCATATACATCATTATCTTTTTAAACTTAGGTTGTATTCCAGGTATTATATTGCTGTTTTCTATTATATTAATAAAAGTATATATATATATAATTGCTGACGATAAAATTGCTAATATTTATCACTATGCTTCAAACGAATATCTTGTGGAGTACTTTGATTTTGAGTTTTTTCTGACGCTTCCATCTCCATTGAATTACTATATGACCTGTTAGTCGACCCTCTTTGAGATTTTTCATTTTCTGCATTTTTGACTCTTCCCAACAGTTTTGAATCTATTATTTCATCTGAATATTCAGAAAAGTGAATATTGTTATTTTCATGATCAACGAGAGGTGGCTAAAAAAATTTAATTTTCTGTGTAATTAAAGCGTTAAAGGGCATTATAAGCTTTTCTCTTCTCTAGTACAGTGGTTCCTAACCACTGAAGCTATTTTGACGGCCCGCAAGAAATTTCGTTGTGTTGTTGATTTTCTGTCAGCACGTAATTTTTTAATATTTTTAATAAATTTTCATTCTTTGAGTACGTCGCAACGCTACTTATGTGTTTGCTTTTCAATACCTTGATATTTAATGGTCTTATAGTATTTATTAGTGACAAAACGTAAAACCCTGGTACTGTTTAGAGATAATTTCGTATTAAATTACCATCAGAAATGCGTTTATCATTATTGAGGATGTTTTGCATTAAAAAAGACAAAATAATTCGCATATTTTTATCCATATGCCGAAAATTTATTTAACAATTCGCTATTTTATTTATATTCTATTCCGTTTATTTATAACTTTGAGGTATTTTGCGCTGTCAAAAACAACACAAGCAAAAAAACATTTCATGAAATGGGGCCTCATTAATATTTTCCATATTTTATTTTCATGCTTTGTGTCAGTTCAATATTCTGTTCGCAAGATCATTTTATTTGATGTTACTGGTTTATCGAGATAAAAAGGTTGAGAACCAATGCTCTAGTACAAGGGGTTCTCAAGTGGTGAGGCCTAATAAATCTCAAGGCAGTTTTTTCTAATTCTCTCAATATTTATGTGTGGTATTACAACTACAGACAATTTTTTGAGGGGGCATAAAGATAATTGAAATTAAAAGTAGTTGTTTAATTTGATCTTGCCCGCCTTATCTTGGATATTTATATTTATTTCATTATTTACGTGCCATCCACATATTTTCAATGGGATTTTTGAATAAAATATACTTTCGTCTTACTATCTGTTGTTTGTAGCTGATTGTTAGATAGTTATTTTTGAGTTGGGACACAAGGCTTGACAAATTCTAAAAAGGGGGCGTGACTTAAAAATTTTGAAAACCACTGCTCTAGTATATTTATAAAAATGATATGCCCTACTACCCTCTAAATGACCAAATCCAGATATACCTGCATCTGTTCGTACAACCGTTTCCGATTTGTTAATTAAAACATGATCATTTTTGTCAAGAATCAGGGCAGTTTTCTCCTTTTTGGATATTTTTCTAGTTGAGAATTCGCCTTGACTATTATTGCTTTGTTCAATCTGCAATGAAATTAATACATAGCAAAATAAAAATACAAAATACAACACAATACAACATATAGAATAATTTGTTATTTCAGAAAAAAAACGTAAATGAATCATTACCATTCTTGAGCCTTTTTTCTCTAAAGTTTCATTGCTACATTTTAGATGTGGAAAGTGTGAATCTCCAACTTTATTTGCTAAACATAAAATATGAAGTAAAATGTCGAAAATTTGGCAAAACAAAAACTTTAATTTTGATTTAGTTTCATATATATATATCATCAATCAAAGATAACCTGCAAACATGGCAATAATAATTTAATAACATGGCAAATCCTTATTCTTGAAAGCAAGAATATGACAAATAAAGCTAATCTAATGAAGCCTGTTTGAAGCATAACAGCTTGCTATGCTTCAATGGTTATATGACACTACTTTAGATATGTGAAATATACATATACAGTAAATATACATACGTGAAATCAAAGTATTTCCTCCATTGCTATTGTTATTTATTCTGGAGTTTCCTTGTGACATATATTGTGAACAGTTATTTTCAGTTTTATCACCTTAATTAGAAACAGGATTTATATTATTTTCTAAACAATTTCAACATAGTCTTGGTAATAAGGTGAATAAAAATGTTGATGATTTCAAATAATTGACTGGAAATGTCCCAAAACAGTATCGTGTCTATTATTTTGAACAGAGCAAACCAGTAACATACTTTAAACTGAGTTTCACATCCAATATTACTGATACAAAACATTTCAAAGCTGTGTCATAAAATTATGTAATACTGATAAATGCTAAAATATACCAAATAATGTGGAAGTAGTGTTTTACTGCCACTATGCCATGCTTTTAAGGAGCAAAAATGAATCCTGATTTTTTTAAATTGAGTCATGCAATTACCAGTAATTATCTTTTGATTAATTTATAAGCCTGTAATCTGATATTTGCTGTGTAAATAAAGAAAACACAGATGCTGAAATGAAGACAGAAATG